TTTTTTTTTTTTTTTTTTTTTTTTTTTTTTTTTTTTTTGGGGGGGGGAAGAGGTGTAGTGTGTGAAAATAAGTATGTATGCTCACTGTCTGCACACACACACACATTCCCCCAGTGGTGTCGAAACCTGACAAGCAGGTTGCTGATTGCCATGCGTCAGCAGCAGACTGCTCCCATGGCGGTATGGGCGGAGGCCCAGGGTGAAAGGTCACTTGTGCGGGCTAGCATTCCTGACTTACAGCTGTCTCTTTGCCCTCCCTCCCCCCATGAGGCTCTGCTGCTGCTCTGTGTTGTCATTTTCCAGCCAGGGTGCACGGCTGTGAGGGGTGTGGGGGGGGGTCATCTTGTGAACTGTCATACTCTGGTTGCATATAAAAACTGTATGGCAGTCTTATGGGAGGGAGCAGACGCCTCCCTGGAATATTAATTCATGTTGTGAAGTTTATCGCCATCATTATAGCGGAAGACATGCTGGAAATCTTGACTTTGTTTTGTGTTTTTTTGTTTTTTTTTTAGGTTTGCTCCATCGCTGTTTTGATAACCAGAGGCAAGGATAGTAATGCAAAGTAAGTCATTCACAATTCAGCTCTTGTTTTTAAATGTATTTCACTATCATATTCCATTTGCTCTTGCTACAAACTATTTTACAAATATAGTGATTTTTATGTTTTTTACTTGTGTTGGTTGTATTTGGTAGGGACGGTGCACTTTAATAAATCATCACTGTAAATGCGCCAGTTAACCAAGAGGCTATTTTTCATCTGTAGTCCAGTGTGTTTTCATTTTTTAGCTTCTGCATTTTCAAGTTCACTTTTGTATTTATCACCTCATTCATCAGTACTTTTAAAGGAGACTGTTTATATGATCATTACCTTCCTACTGCCAACAATGTGTTGGTTATGTTGCGTAACAACTAAAGGTTACTTCCGTAAAAGGGTTCCTCTCTTTTATGTGGCATAGAAGTAAAACACTGGCAACTTGTCAACTTGTTAATGAATCACTTTGGTCCGACGTTTGACTTCTCATAATTCCTCTGTTCGTGCTTGGCAGTGGCTGACATCGACAGCGGCATGGTGAAGGTGGAAAAGTGGCAGGAGACGATGTATGGCCTCGACTCGGGCATCCAGTCTGGAGCCACCACAGTCAGAGACGATGACGGCGACTTCACCACCTCCAAGCACTACACCAGGACCACCACCGTCACAACGGAACATCCTGGTAAGACGACGAGCACCAGCCAAACCAACCAACGTGCATACACTGTAGGCCTTGCCTTTATTACATGTGGCCTGTGATCTCATTTCTCGGTAGACCTGGATGCCCACTCCACCAGGGCCCAGCGGGTGCGGGCCGCGATGTTCCCAGAGACGCTGGAGACAACCACCACATTCACGTCAACTCAGTTGGACCCGTCCCAGATGACCAACGTCCAGCGGCTGGCAGAGCCCTCCCAGATGCTCAAGACCGCCATCGTCCATCTGATCAACTACCAGGACGACGCAGAGCTGGCCACGCGCGCCGTGCCTGAGCTCACCAAACTGCTCAACGATGAAGACCAGGTGATGAACGCAGAATCAATGTCCGCGCACTCAAACACACAGTCTGGAATTGGCGCCGTATTTTGGTCAATACAAGGGTCTTATGAGATAATTATATTGACTTGAATAGCTTGTTCGAAAGTGCCGCTTTTCCATGTTTAATGTCATTTGAATACTTGTACGGACAAGTTTGAAGCCGCCACTTGAACATCCTAAATACCACACTCTGCTATAGAAGTAGCATTAAAACCAGGTAGTCACTTTCATGTGTGTGTATAATTTTCCACCAGTAAAACTGAACTCTTCTTCTCTCATCAGGTGGTGGTCGGCAAGGCAGCACAGATTGTCAACCAGCTTACCAAAAAGGAGGCGTCCCGGCGTGCGCTGATGCAGTCCCCTCAGATGGTGGCGGCGGTGGTGCGGGCGATGCAGAACACGAGCGACATGGAGACGGCGCGGGCCACGGCCAGCATCCTCCACAACCTGTCCCACCAGAGAGAGGGCCTGCTCGCCATCTTCAAGTCTGGAGGCATCCCCGCTTTGGTCCGCATGCTCAGGTACAGACGGGGAGAAAGAAAGAAGACGTTATTTGACTTCAGCCACTTAGGACTTTGATCCTTGTTGTTGTTTGCATTTGTTGGGGAAATGGAATCTTTCTTATATGTAGGTATGAAAGGGAAAATATACCCGTCTTAGAAAACTCCTTTTAGTCAATGTCCTTTGCATTTCAAGTCCCGAGTCGAATCCTTTTTGAAAGACAAAAAACAGAAGAATTACTCAGAATCACTCGTGATATTTGAATCTAACAGTGAGGACGTTTTCCATTAACGTATGGCAACCGTTTGTGCCGGTAGTTTGTGATCCACCCTTAACCTGTTTCTCTCCCACAGCTCTCCCATGGAGTCCGTGCTCTTCTACGCTATCACCACGCTCCACAACCTGCTGCTGCACCAGGAAGGAGCTAAGATGGCTGTTCGTCTGGCTGATGGCCTGCAGAAGATGGTTCCCCTGCTGAAGAAGAGCAACCCCAAGTTCCTGGCCATCACCACAGACTGTCTGCAGCTGCTGTCTTATGGCAACCAGGAGAGCAAGGTTTGTGTGCAATTGTCAGTACATGTAATCCAATGGCTGGTACACTTCATACCAGTACTGTAATTTGAGTCGTGCTTGTGTTTACATGCGTTTTGTTTTGGGTGTGGCATGTGAACAGAGTTGTTCAGGTGCTGGCACAGTGAGGGTATGGGTGTGGTTAGTAGTTGAGTGGTAAAATGGTTGAAGATTAACCGGTGTTGCTCAGCCGGGACATGTCGCAGCGTTGTAAGATTTGTTTATTGTAAACCGTTAACGAATTCCTTTACAAGTGTTAAACAGTTATTTTCACGCCATCAGCACTTTGTATACTCACACAGTCTGTCTCTTTCACAGCTGATCATCCTTTCCAACGCGGGTCCAGAGGGTCTCGTTCACATCATGAGAAACTACAGCTATGAGAAGCTGCTGTGGACCACAAGCCGTGTGCTCAAAGTCCTCTCGGTGTGCCCCAGCAACAAACTCGCCATTGTAGAGGCTGGTATGTTTGTGTGTGTGTGTGTGTGTGTTTTAAGGTAGTCCTACAGGTGTGTCAGCCTGAGCTGTGACTATTGGCTTCTTGTCAACCGCAGCGCTACGTGACAGCACAATCACTGAGATGTTGAGTGATCTGGCTTCTCTCTGCAGGTGGGATGCAGGCTCTGGGTCAACACCTCACAGGCTCCAGCCAGCGTCTGATGCAGAACTGTCTGTGGACACTCAGGAACCTGTCTGACGCTGCCACCAAGCAGGTCTGCGTCCACACTCGCCTTCGCCCTTTTCTTCTCCTCTTCTTGAAAATCTGTTCATTTCTCATAATTGAGGAACGTTTCTGAAATCTGTCTCTTCCGGTTTCCAGGAGGGTATGGACAGCCTCCTGCAGGTGCTGGTGGGCCTGCTCAGTTCGGACGACCTCAACATGCTCACTTGCTCCACCGGCATCCTGTCGAATCTCACGTGCAACAACGCCTACAATAAAACTCTGGTCACCCAGGGCAATGGTATAGAGGCGCTGATCCACGCCATATTGCGTGCCAGTGAGAAGGAGGATGTGACTGAGCCTGCCGTTTGCGCTCTGCGCCACCTGACATCGCGCCACCAGCAGGCTGAGATGGGGCAGAATGCTGTGAGGAAACACTACGGCATCCCCGCCATTGTCAAGCTGCTCAACCAACCCTACTACTGGCCCGTCATCAAGGTAGAGACAAGGGAAGGATGGAGGGGATAGAACGGGCTCAAATGAGGGTCAATACGATTTTAAAGTTTAAAACTATAATGATTAACCTCATTTTTCATGCATGTTTTTTTCCTCACTGGTTTGCAAAGACTGATATGCAACCACAGGGTTTTTTGACCCTTGTCTGAGCCCATAGCTTAGTCTAGAAAGGGGAAGTGAGTGTTTCTCTACTTTGATGGGTTTTACGAAAGACGAAAGGAAAGCAGCCCACCGAGCAATTGATGTCATTTCAGCATTGCCTATATGCTTTAGCTCTGATGTAGAGCTAGAGTAAACTTATTTTCAACGTCAAATTGCTCAGTGAGAGGGTTTGAGGGAACATAAGATAAGGATTTTGGTAGATGGTGAGACGGATGGGCCGAGGGGATGGCAGGTCCTGCAGAAAGTCTCAATCAACCTGAAGGAGTGCGAACAGTCATGACAGCAGGAACAGTATGTTGTACAAGACCAGGCTTTATGGGAGAGGAAAATAATCAAGTTTTTGCTTTACTTGCTTGCAAGTAACTGGGAACAGTATCATGACATTATCTTGTTCCTCTCTTCTGCCTTAAGGCTGTGGTTGGTCTGATCCGCAACCTGGCGCTGTGCCCGGAGAACCAGGCCCCTCTGAGGGACGCTGGAGCGATCCCGCGTCTGGTCAATCTGCTGCTCAAAGCCCACCAAGACGCCCAGAAACATGGTTCATCCTCCCAACAGACATACCAGGTACGTGCTTGTGGTTACCGATTTTAAGGACGTGTGGGTTTTAGGGATTGTGGAAATTAGTAGTTGTGAATTATTTCTGTATCCCTGCGTAACGTTTCTTCTCTTCATCGTGCTCTTCAGGATGGAGTGAGGATGGAGGAGATTGTGGAGGGCTCCACGGGAGCTCTGCACATCCTGGCAAGAGATCCCATCAACCGATCAGAGATCTCCAACCTGCAGACCATCCCTCTGTTTGTTCAGGTAGCAGAGGAAACTGAAGCTCTCTCACTTAATGATTTAATTTCCGTGTTTGTTTATATTATGTTCTTCATTTCTTTCCTCCCTCTCTCCAGCTCCTCTACTCTCCAGTGGACAACGTGAAGCGCGTGGCAGCGGGCGTCCTGTGCGAGCTGGCCCTGAACAAACAGTCAGCAGAGCTCATCGACAGCGAGGGAGCGTCTGCTCCGCTGATGGACCTGCTGCACTCCAACAACGAGGGCATTGGTAGGACACCCGGATAATGCACCGCAGTTAGCTCACCGTAATGTAGCATTCAGTCATTGGTGGAAGGGAACAAAGGCAATTCGCTCAAGTGCTGTACTTACTGTAAGTGCAGTTTCCAAGTACTTCCCTCGACATAACCATGTCCATTTTGTGAGACGGTATACTTTTACTCCCCTGCATTTCATATAGTGAAAACCTATTTAAAAAAAATCTGGGGTGGGGGTGTGTGAGTTAAGGAGTCTCACAGCAGCTGTTTTGAAGTCTGGTGGTTCTGGTGGATACTTCTGAATCTCTTTCCAGACGGCAGCAGGGTGAACAGGTTGTGGCTGGGTGGGTTTTGTCTTTTAATATCCCTTTAGCTCGTCCCAGGCTCCTCTTCTCACCAATATCACTGATGCTCAGTAGACTGGTGCCAATGATGTTCTGGGCGGTTTTAATCACCAGCTGTAGAGCCCTCCTGTCCTTTGCCGTACACGTCCCATGCCAGTTTGTAATGTTTGCTGTCGGGATGCTTTCTATTGCTCCGCTGTAAAAGTTGACAAGAACTTGGCACGAGAATTTTGCCTGGTGAAGACAGCCGTTCATGGGCTGTCTTCACCAGGATGGAGATGTTTGATTTAGCGTGGTATCGACCTTCATATCTAACTCTCGGCAAGAAAGTGAGAGTATTTCCCCTGATATCGAACTATTCTTTGAAGTAAAGTAAATTTTGTTTTTGTTTTTTTCCTCGTGTCCATTTGTTGGTCACATTGAGGGAAAAATGTTCAAATTGGCTTTTAAGCACGTGTTGTCAGAACTTAAAGTACTTAAACCATCAGTCTTAGCTACTTACAAGAATGTGTTTTATATTACATTTACATGTGGAAGTAGCACGTCTGAATTAGACAAGGCTCACACACATGTTAATGCTGTCAAAGCTTTATAACTGATGCTGTTTATGCACTACACCCATAATGCATCAGCGAGTACCTGATGATGTACTACCTGAATACCCACAAGTCACTTATGCAGTAATCGAGATGAGCACTAAAATGATGCTTTTGCTGTTAATTTGTTTAAAACCGTTAACCTCTGGTGCATCAGAGTCAATTGTGGATTTGTTTCTTTTTGAATACGCCCACACTAATATATTATTGTTAAAAAGAGAGGAAGGCTTTTGTCCATCGCTGAATGTGTCCTGATTCTTTTCCCCTCAGCTACTTACGCTGCAGCTGTGCTCTTCCGCATCTCCGAGGATAAGAACTCAGATTACAAGAAGCGGGTGTCTGTGGAGCTGACGCACTCTCTGTTCAAAAACGACCCCACTTCCTGGGAGATGGTGAGTGTCTGGCGCCCTCCATTGCCAGGATTATATCATCTTTAATAATGCTCTAAGGACTAACAAACAAACCGTCTATTCAAGTGTTGACTTTATTTGACCTGTCCCCTCTCGTGAACTCTGCAGGCCCACAACAGCATCCCCATGGAAGGACCCTATCCAGATGGTGAGTAACTATGTCTAAAATGTGCACATGCGGCACATTCCTCAGCACTGGGTCAGTCCACCACAAATACTGTAATCTGCTCACAGGTCGCCTCCCTGCTGCAGCCGACAGATTCCATTTGCTATAATCATCTGGTTGCAAAATGTATAGTTTCACTTTAGACTTTCCATTAATGCATCGCTACCTGAACCTCATTGAAAAGTCTCAAAGGTTTTCTCCCCATCGATCTCCTTCCTGGTGTGTCCTTATCTCTGTTTTCATCTTTCTCTTAATTCCCGTCCTTTTCCTCTCTCGACGTTTCTCCTTCTTTGGTATTTTCCTTCTTCTCTCAGAGCAGAGAGACTCGACGTCTCTTCTCTCTATCATCACTGCACTCCAAAAATGTGCCAAAAATGTTAAATGATGTTCCACTAGCTTGTACAATTATCTGTGCTGCTGTTCCTACTGTCATGACCGCAGCATTAGCTGAGTTAGGCTGAGACTAAGCTGAATGTCAGACGATCTGCTAGTCCAGTGTGTAACCAGTAAAAACAACCTCTTGCAGAGCTGGATGCTGGCTTCCCAGGCTACGCTATGCAGGGAGGCTATGCAGCTGACGGCTTGCCCATGGACGGCATGGAGGGAGTCATGATGCAGGATGAATTCCAAGGCAGCATGGCCTACGACAGACCACCCTACGAGTATCAGTAAGATGCATTATAAGTATAGATTAAACTACATTTAATGAGATGAAACGCATGAATCAAAATATCACTTTGTTTTCAGAACCTGTTGCTTTTGTTATTTGTAAGAACTTTAAGAAAAGAGCCAGAAAAAAATGATTCTGTTTGAATTGTAACAACTTTGGCTGAATATGTTGCGGTTGTGTTTAAGCCCATCGCTGATAGTAAGAAGCTTGAGTAAGAAAGTAGGTTGTCGGGGCCTTTTCAAAGTCTGATATTTCTTTCCTACAACATAATAACTTTAATCTGACTTTTCTTTTTCCTCTTCATAAAGATCCTGAGGAGACAGAGATACGGAAGCGGTGGAGCTGATATGGAACGTACTAGGACAAAGAAGAGAATAAAGGCGTCGGCAGAGATTATTCCCTCTGCTCTCAGCCTGATGTAATATATGCAATTATCACGGAGTACGGGACTCGTAATCTTAACAGGGCTCAACTGTGTTTTAAAGCATAATTTTGCTGATTATAACTTTGATGATGCTTGTAGGTTTCTGTTAGAGAACCTTTTTAAAAGTGTGTGTGTGCACGTATGTGTGTGGGAGTGTGACTGTGTTTATGCTTTTGGGTGGGTATTCTATGCCAAAGAGATTTTATTTTGTGATGATAATCGTGTAGCTTCCTCATTGTCTTTTCTTTCTTTGTCTTTTTTTTTTTTTTTTTTTAAAGGAAAAGGAAAACACAATGAGAGTAATAGTTGAAAACACTGCCAGAGGCTCAACGTGCACGGTGCACCGGCTCACCGCTCTGCTTCTTCCTTAACGCCTTTGTAACAGTCACTGCTGTCTAATATGTAGTTTTGACACCATATACAAAGTCAACTTTCTTCCGCTGTGACGCGACTGTTTAGAGTCGGTGAAGAGTTGGTCTCGCAGCACTAATCCAGTAGGCGTGAGCAAACTAGGAGATGGTGGTCTTTGACAGACCCCTGAGAGAGCAGTGTAGGGCTGCCCCCCCCCCCCCAAATGTAATCACCTGTAGGTGAACAAGATGGTTGTTTTTCAGGAATTGTGGCTAATCTTTTATGTTATTTGCAGAGAAAGATTCCCAACCACGACATCAACAAAGATGTCTTTTTGTTATGAATATAATTTAGAGAAAAGATTGTATGTGTAATCATTTGCAGGAGAACAGCAACAACATGGATTCAGAGGTTTTGCAGATGTTTTCAACAGACTGGTTCATTAGTCAAGAGGTGTGATGCTGTATAGTTGGGACGGCCCTACAGCTGGAGCAAACTACTGACAGGGAAATTTGTCTTTCTACTTAAGAGTTTTTACTGAAATTTTGTTTAATAAAAATAAAGGATATATTAAACCCAACATGGTGTCCATGTTTGAACTGATTTACCCGTTATCTGATTTTGGAAGCAATAATTAAATGTTTCATATGTTGTGGATCTGATCTGCTGTTCCTTTGGTATTCTTACCATCCAGCATTATTCATCATACATCAGTTTTATTCTGTCTTTAGTGTCTATAAAGGAATTTTTTTTATTTTTACACCTGAAGAAAAATATTGAACCATTAAGTTTGTTCAAATTCTTCACCCAATGACTAGTTCAGGATTGTTGAGTGACTTATTTTAAATAAGCGCAGCACACACCAAGGGGATGCATCGACAGGCCAATTAATTGGAGCTCTCGCTGCTGCTCTCTTGTGAAATAACTCCTTTCATTACTCACCATTCACGGTCTTCAACATGCACGAATCCATAACTATAGTCCATAAATCTCCATACGGCTAAACCGTTTACCATAACACAGTTCACCAAACGTGGCGGTCAATTGGCTGAAAACCTCCGGCTGGTAACGCCTGTCACCTGAGTGAAAGTTCTCGCCTCTATTGTACAACGACTCAAAGCACAAGAGCGACACCTACTGGACTGTTTGTGGCCTTCAGGGTCGCATCACATCTGTCTGAAGTAGCTGGAACTGCTTCGTTTCACTTCCCTGATTTGACAAATCAAACTTTCACACACAACCATAGAAATGCAGAAATTGTTAAATGGCTGTTGTATTGGAACCCAATTTGGTGAATATGCGGTTTCTCCTGTAACATTTTTGGAGATGAGTGGAATGTTATGTCAATTTTAAAAATCAGAAGTTGTGAGGGAGGTCAGTTCACCTGCAGTGATTCTACTTTGTCTAAGTCATTATGGTGTTTCTAGTCTTTCCTCTAATAGATGTTAAAACTCAGTTCAAAGCATCTTCATGCTCCCCAGCTCGTCTCCGTCACTGCCTCCCTCTGCCGCTGTATATTCGCTGGATGTTTGCTTTGGATTCAAATGATTGATTCTCTCTTTTGGTTCATTACATTTTGCAAAAGTGAAAACTATAAAATGACAAAGATGTCCTCTGAAAACCTGTAACACAAAGAAGTCAAGGACTGTCTGTTAGTGGATGTAATATTCCCCCTTTTGCATAGCAACTGTTTTATTCATCTTCCTCATCGCCGTTGTTACCACGTCCGTATAGAAAATATGTCAACAGTTAAATGAAGCATATCAATGGCCAGTCAAAACAGACACATCATGCAGACACAATATCCAGTATTATAGTAAATGTGAGTGGTGGGCTCTGTGAGGACCAAATTGACATGTTACTTTTAAGATTATTGCTCGGGTTTGAACTTCCTCCCTTCATCAGAGCCGTCCTTCATCGACGCACATCTCCGAGTTTAGACAGTGAGTGAAACTCTACAACATTCTCAGCATTGTTCAGCTTGCTCCATGCTTATTTTCTACAGCATTAAATAGATTGTTCAAATTGGTCTGCACAGACTCGAGATCTTAAAACACCAGAATCCACCTTTTGATGTCTCCCTATATACAGTCTTAATAAAATAAAAACATTTCACAAGAAGAGGTGGTTTTTGGGGTATAATCCTCAGGACATTGCCGTTTGCACCCTGCTCCTCTCTGGTTAGGGCGCAGAACCACCATCCACTCTGGCTGCAGACTCCAGGCAGGAAGGAAACGTCTAAAGTCCGTGTCCACCAAGCTTTAGATCACACTGTCAAACATGTGCATGGACTGCATGATGCTCTCATCCTGGATGGACACACAAAGTCAAGTTACTGAGGAGGCTGCAGATGGAAAAGGTTATTTTGTTGATCATTTGAAATGGTTGCAGAATACCTTTTGGCATGTCTCCAAGAACTCCTCGATGGTGACCACTCCATCATTGTTCTTGTCCATTTTCTGGAAAATGTAACACGCAAGCACAGATGTTTCAAAGGTGGAACTTAAAGGAACCCTGTGGAGTTTTCTTGATGCGCTAACATCAACAACTGAAGATCAGTGGAGCGGCCTGAAACTGGCAGCAGGAGCATCACCACAAGCTCGTGCGCCTGCATGTGCAAAAGAAACAAACAAATTCGGGGCGTGTATCGCTTTGATGATCGAGTGTTTTACCTGGAAGAAGTTATCCACGTGCTCGTTGGGAGCATTGTCCATCATGCAGGGGTAGGTACACTTCCCCATCATGTCGTAGATGGAGTGCATGATGTCCGTCATCTCCTGGACAGACGGAAGGAAGGAAGGAAAAGAATCAAGGGCAAATCAAGCACCACCAAGATCTGCTGACATGACACAAGACAGAGAGAGAGAGAGAGAGAGAGAGAGAGAGAGACAGACAGAGACAGAGAGAGAGAGAGACAGACAGAGACAGAGAGACAGACAGACAGACAGACAGACAGACAGACAGACAGACAGACAGACAGACAGACAGAGACAGAGAGAGAGAGAGAGAGAGAGACAGACACAGAGAGACAGACAGAGGGAGAGAACGATTAAAGTACCTCTCTGGTGATGCAGCCGTCTTTATTGAGATCGTACAGATTAAACGCCCAGTTGAGTTTATCATTGATGGAGCCTCTCAAGATGATAGACAGACTTTCAACAAAGTCCTGGAGCAAGAAGAAGAAAACAGAGACATGACTGAGAACAGGAACGTCATGGTGACATCAGGAGGAGGAAGATGAAAGCAAGAGAAACAGGGAAATAAAATAAAGAACAGGATTAATCAGCGGTTTACGAGTACTGAGTCAATATATATATATATATAAAATATATATTTGTGTCTTTTAAAAGTACGAAGTTGCCGCACTGGAGCATGAAGGAAGAAAACGCATAAAGTGACAGAGAGGACAGAGAGTGAAGGGATGGACGAGTCACCTCGAAGCTGACCGAGCCATTGTTGCGGGTGTCAAATGCTTCAAAGAGGAAATGTGCGTACATACTTGAATCTGGAGGAAAGAGAAAATAAAGTGACCATTCAAATCCTGGACTCAAATAAGAGTCAGTAAGGTTTTGAGTTTGTGAAATTATGTTCAGAGATCATCTTAGAGCTTGTGGTTTTATATCACCCTTTTTTAAACCTTTGAACCTTTACACATTCACAAAAACTTGAATTTGTTAAGTTTTTTCACGGGTTGACAAAGAGTAATATACTAAACACAGGCTTTGAAATGATTTCTGAAAATAATTTCCCAATCTCAGAATCGTATTGACCCTTTGTTGACCCCATAGACAGACACAAGCTAAGAAGAATGCAGATGATGAGCGGCACAGCTTACAGTAGAGCATGAGCTGAAACAGGGATATAATGTGGCGGAAAGACCTGCAAACTCCCCACCAATGAAGACGCAAGATCTTTCCTTCAGAAAAGCTCCTACTGGTTTCTATTTGGACTCTTAATGTTCTACTATGAGTCGAACGAGGAGGATCTGACTGACCTCCATGAGGGAAGAACTGGGAGTAGATGCTTTTAAAAGTCTCTTCGTTCACCACACCACTGGGACACTCCTGTGGAAATTAAAGCACAAACTTCTATCGACACACAGACGCAGATTCCATATTTATAAAGATGGTCATTCAAAACATAAAATAAGAGTGCACATATCAAACATCCGCGGAACTCTTTGACTGACGTTTTTGAATCCCCGGTAGAGGACCTGCAGCTCTTTCTTGCTGAAGTTGGTCTTCCGTACGAGGTGGTCGAGCCCCTCCGGTCGGCAATGCACCGTTGACAGTTCGGCATCATCAGTTATACTACCTGCATGTACGGATGCAGAGAAAAAAATGTAAAAGTTACTCCCTATGGGAACACCATTGTTTCACTTTCTCCGTGACTAAAATCACACGAAGGGGAATCTGAGTGAAGATGGACTGTGTGTCCTGACACTTGCTTTGAGCGACTGAAGAGCTGGAGCCAGAGCGAAAGCAGGGGAGAAGTTTGAGGAACCGCTGCTTTATGGTCTTCTTATTGGGTTTGGATGGAGGATTACCTGGAGACAACCAATCACAGCAGAGATTAGAGGCAGACAGAGAGGCCCACATTGGGAACACCATGTTAGATGGATAAACCACTGGCCAAACCCTTTTCCATGCAAGTCAGAGCGCACAAATTAGTGTGCTGACCTGGCTTTGAACCAGTGTGACCCATCGGATCAAAGCTGTTTGGAGAGCATCCAGCATGTGAGAGCTGAGTGAAATGACGCGTGACTGGAGTCTGAGATACAGAGGTCATACTGAGTGGGATCTAAATGTCCAACATTATTCTTTATTTTTTAAGGTAAGATATTTACAATCCTTTAATTAACCCGGAGGTGTCTTGAAATACGATATCTCAAACATGATGAACCTGGCCACTAATAAATAAAGTTTAGTCTGATGCAGTGACATCGCATCTCTACTTCATTTAGCTCAGTCCTAATGCAATGCTAACATGCCGATGAATAGGTATAATGTAAATCATGTTCACGGTTTAGTGTGTTAACCTGGCTGTTCAGTTTACTCCATAACTTCACAAATGTTCAATAGGATACCTAGTGCCTCCACAGGGCTCTCAACATGGCGACGGCTGAGCGGCGGCTCAAAGCTAACGGTGCTAACAGCGCTGACAGAGCTAACAGCGCTCACCTGAGAGGGAACCGAAGGGTGGGCTTTACCTTAGGAGTCACATAGGCTATTAGCAGGCTACTAGCTGACCATTAGTTTGCAAGTGGGGCACGCTCACGTGCACACACATGCACTGAAAGGCACACACGGCAAGCCCGGCTATGTCAACAAAGCACAGAGAAGGTCAGATTACAACTCTGCTCAGGTAGACAATACTCCACTAAATGCGTACGTAGCCAATAGTTGTTTACTGCTAATGGATCACAGTCATCTTCATTGAGCTGATTATTGAGTAAAACAGTTGCATGCCTTCCTTTTTCCCCATCCCAGCTCCCCTCCTCTTCTCCTGCCACAGTTAAACACAAACATCAGATTCATCCAAGCTTCTGTTCTGAAGCTTCGTCTGCTCCTAAATTATTTGTGTTCCGTTTAAAGGTCTCTTTTGCTTTCGATTGCTGAAGGCATCTTGTAGTCTCTCTCGTCCTCCATCAGTCACCAAGACTTTATATATTGACCCAAGGACAAAGAGATGCTGGAGAGCAACTATGCTGACAGAAACTCACACAAACAATTGTTGATTTACCATCTCCAGACCTACATGTGTCCTTGCTGCCACTAGAGGGAAGTGTTGAGCTACAGTCAGATTACACTCGACTGATAAAGGCCTGAAAGTCAGAGAAAGGGAAAAACAACAGACAGGAAGCAACTATGAGCACTGCAGGTGACTCCAGGTGGAGCACCGTGTTGGAGGTTTTAAAGTAGAAATGATGATGCACCTCCACTCCCACTGCTATCCAGAAAACCTGTGAGATAAGATGTTCTATTGGCAGCCCATGAAGCAACGAAACATAACTGGAAATACAGATACAAGTGACTGAACGGTGCTGGAAGAATGTATAAAACCTGTACGATTATTATTCAAGTTAAATAAGTTGCTTGCACATGAAGTTGCCTCTTAAGTCTGTGATCATAAATATGTAAACACACCAACAGCAGTGTACGTCTTATGTACTGTATACAAGCATAACTTATAACATCTCATTCTGTGGGAACAAACCAGTTGCCCTCATGTAGGAGATGTCAATCAAACTGCCATCAGCTGCACAGCTAAGGAAAAACAAACAAAACCAACATCTTAGCTTTTTGACGCAGAAAAAGAAAACGATAAATAAAATGGGTTTGACAGATTGACAACGACAAAAAACGTCGCTGCTGTTTTCTGTCTTTAGCTGATATTGTTTGACGTCACAGAGCGCAGGGCAGATATTTTTAAACGTATTTTCTAAGTTATTGAAATGCTTTCTACGGGCAGCTGTTTGATGTGACTTATTTGCAGAGTAATCCAACAGAAACAGAGCGGGAGGTTTATGTTAGAGAGGCCATGCAGCCTCAGCTGAAGCATTATTCCAGCCGTGATGTAGAAACGCACTCACTGTGAGCCAATATAAATGACTTTGTTTTGATGGTGTTACGACATGAACTAATGCAACATACTGGTGTGTTCATACTCTAAGTAGCCGTTGGACTGATGAATAACACGGACTCAGTTACTTCAGCGGGTGCTGACATCTTCCAGCAGCCTTTCCTCAGTTCTGACTTTAATCCTGTGAATCAATATCAACAAATAGATCCGTGAACTCTTCCCTGCTGTTATTAACACATGTAAAGACTATTTTACCGTCACCTTTTATCCAACTACTTCAGTTGCAAATACTTGAATGGAGAAAAAAAGAGACACTGAGGGAAATTAAGAAATCTGTGAGAAAGGAGGGCTGCGAGGCTTTGAAGATATATCTTTACAACAAGTTATACTAATAAATACATTAAAAGTTCAGTTCAGTTCACGTTGAGGTCAGAAATAAATCAGTTAGAATATTTGCCTCAGAACCTCAGACTTCTGAAGTGGGCGTAATCAATGGGTTTCAATCAGGTACGTTTCTGGCGACAAGAAATAAAAGTTTATAATAGTTCAGTTTAATCACAGTGGGAGGTTAAAAACAACATATGCATTCATTAGTTCATTATCTTTAGACATTCTTTTAAAACCTCCCAAATACACATAAACCGTATCGTCTACATGGCCGAATGAAAGACCAAACTTTCTTACTAAAAGTAAATTTTTCTTCAAGTAAGCATCTGTGAGCAAAGAATAAGTGAAGAAGGAAACGTAATAGTAAATAGTTTATTAACCATGCAGTGACTTGTAACAAAGAACGTATAAATGCTTATAAAGACACATAAACTGGTGATGGTCATTTCATCATGAGCCTAAGCGTCTCGTTCACCGGTTGGTCCTTGAGGTTACTTGGAAGGTCATGGGTTTCATGCAGCGTTCAACGAACGTTTAGAACATGTTGCCCGGGCAGCAGCCTCTATAAGCTTACCATAATCCTTAGAGAGGACATGCTTCAGCTTATGAACATTCATCTCATACAAACCACGGATACACACACAATCACATTCACACACTCGTTCTCTTCCACCGACATGTTGAGCTCCCCGTGATTGTTAGAGGTTTTTATCAAATCATTTGTCCTCATGTGTCCTCACACAGAAGCACGCGTCACCGTCGGTTATGTAGCATCAGCTTTGATTATTTGTTACACAACGTTGATCTTAATACTCTTCATCAGTGCAGCCATTTTGAAATCTGCGACGTAACTATGTTATATAAATGCAATATCTATGTTATCAATGTTGGCAGTGTAGGGAAAAAACTCCATGAGCGCTCAACAAATTTGTCATGAATGAAAATCTATGAATGTGTTCTCACCCGTCTCACGCACACACAAGCACACACGCACACAAACACACACACACAGAAGCAGGCTTCTTCAGTAATAAATGCAAGTGGTATAATTTACAATCTGTCACAACATAGAATGCAATATTAGTTCTCCATCCCATTAGCCGAGCCAAGAGATTCAATGCTGAAACCCAAAATGAGTACGTTGACTATCTCCAAGAGAGAAGTACACTTAGCTTTCTGTCGAGAGTTAGAGGACAAGATTGATACCACACTCATGTCTGCACAGTAAATATAACGCTACAACCAGCAGCTGGTTAGCTTAGCTTAGCACAAATACTGGAAACAGGGGGAAACAGCTAGCCTCTCTCGCATCGAACTGTAACAAAATCAAACTACCAGCACCTCTAAAGCTCACATTAGAACTTGTTTGTCTGACCCGTACAAAAGCCTTTGTGTAAAATCAACACGTGGCATTATGGCGGGACTAACTCTGCTGGTAGCTGAGCAGCAACTCCTCCTGGCCATTAAATAGTCCTCCAGCACATAACGCCCTGTAACACAGCAGCCATTCGTTTTCACACAGATCAAACAAACAAGATGTTAAGTGTTAATACGTGAGCTTTAGAGGTGCTGGCTGGTGAACTCTGTCACCGTTGGACAGACACAGATTGCTGTTCCCCTGTTCCTAGGCTGTAATGCTAAGCTACGCTAACCGGCTGCTCGCGCTATAGCTTCGTATTTACTGTGCAGATACGACATCTCAGTCTCTGCAAGAATGGGAAATAAGCGTACTTCAAAATGTCGAGCTAACGCTTTAAAATAACAGGGTGAGGGTCACTGTAACGTGTGTAGAAAGTGATGACATGAAAAAGATCCAATAATGTATGAACACAGTCAGAAGTAAACAACGTGAGGTTGTCTTACAGCACAGCAGCTGCATATAAACACCTTTTCCTGCACAGTCCTGATACCTGATAAGTCCTTCAAATGCATTTATTTATTTATTTTTCCATAAATTTGTTTAACATTACTATTGGGTGCTTATTTGACGGATGCAATAGAGTTGAACAGTGAAGGCTGCAGTTACACAGTTTGCACAAAAAGGTTTGTTTGTGTGTCCTGCACGCCCCTTAAAGCCTCTGTGTTCACGCACCTGTTCACTGTTTGGTTTACCTGCTGCTGAATGGATATCACACTGGCTATTGTGCCAGCGAGAACTATCAGCCATTAAACTTCATCTGCATGCCATCTGTCCGTTTAGAAATATCCTGCAAACGAAATAGGAAAAGCTGTGTGCAGCTGTTTATGTAAGTTATTTTCATACATTTATTTTTAAAGGAAGACTATTTTGGGAAAGTTGTCACAAGAAAGAGAGCGCCAAGTGTGTGAGTGTGAGTGAGAGAGAGAGAAACAGTAATATGCTTTCTGATCTCTAAAGAGACTTCTCTTTGCAGCACTCACTGACAAACAGAGGAGCCTCACTGATCTAATTAGACAACAAACACTCACAAGTTTCATTTTAGATGACAAGACACAACGAGACGCCTATTTTAAATCTTACATGTTTCTGTTGTCTCTCTGCTCTGCTTCAGGCCTCATCAGTGTGTCATCTGATATATGTCGATGGTTTCACCACCACGGGATACTACTGACGCTCATCTTTGTGACTTTTAGTCATATTATGAAGGTTTTCTCACACTTTTGTAAATCACGTTCATCTTTTAACTTTGTTTTCTCTTTAATATAAAAGAGCGCATTAACCACTGCAATACCAATAATCACCAGCTGTGCTGCATTTTTAGGGCATTTCATGAAAACAAACATGTCAATATAATATCAACATGAACAGCATGAGTTGATTGTTTAGAGCTGTGACTAATGATTGTCATCAATCAATCCGCTGAACTCTTTTTTTCAATCTGTCAATCATTTAGTCTATCAACTGTCAGAACATATTGAAAGATGTCCATCACGATTTTTGCTAGAACCAAACTATATGTAAATTACAGTGAAATAGTAGATACTCAGATTTAATAAGCTCGAACCGGAAATTATTTGGCTTTTGTATTTATTGATAAATCAACTTTCAAAATGTCACAACGGATCAGTCATTCATGTCAGCATTATTATCAAAGATCAATACGGAGAACCAGTAATGCAAAATATGTTTCCACACACATATCACAGCCCGACTGGCATTATTGTACATCCCTCTGACTCCGACACAGAGATGTGGAGATGTGGGCTATAAACTTATATTTAGAAGTATTTGTGCTCACCGCAACATGCAAGCAACCACCCGTCATATTTGATTTATTTATTTATTTTCCTGATCACCTGACCTGCATGATGCAGAACCAACGACCACATTATTGTGTTTAAAACCGAGTACTGGAATTGAAGCTTAATTGTCACATTCACACACTGACCAACTGATTTGCAGCAGCTGGTGACAGATGATGAAACCTGAGTTTGTTTTTTGTCAGAGCTAATAGTCTTAGATACTATTTCATTTAAATGACCCTAAGTCGTCTATTGTATGTCGGTTTACTACTTTAGAAAGCCCAAAGTAAACTTTCATGAGCGCACAGTCACTGGAAAGCTCAGCCAGGTCAGCAATCAGCAGCAAATCAAGCAACTTTCCAGTTTCCCATATCTAAAAGGAAAAGATGACAAAGACTGATACCTGTTAGCGGGTCGTAAGATCGGTCCAGCTCCCTGGAGTCAGACAAACTCTGGTCCTGACTCCTGGACTTCATGGTTTCTCTCAGTTCTTACCAGACCACCGCGCCGAACCTGCAGGATCTGTGCGTGCGTCGGAGCGGCAGCTCATCTACGACTTCCTGCCTGTTTGCGTGTCACTTTTCCGCGAGCATCAGCCTGCGCGTGTGTTTGTGTGTGTGCTGCAAAAAAATGTCGCCGATAGAGGGATGACAAAAAGGGTGAAAAGTCCGTGCAGAAGCTCGCGTCCCTCTCTATCCAAACTCTCTACAGCTCAGCATCAGCGCGCGCTCACATCCACAGTGTGCTCCTCGCGGTCACTTAGAGACGCTTCAGTGGGTTCAAAGGTAAAGTTCATCTACAGCAGAAATGTGACGACTTCAGTTTGCTGGTTATCCAAACATCCAAAGAGGACAAAGGGGTCGCCTGTCAGCTGGAGCATCTGTCCGGGGGGGGGGGGGGGGAGAGAGCAGACACATCACAGCCGAGAGGAAGATGGGGGGGGGCTACAGTCAGACAGACATGCGGACGTGGGATTGTATATCTGCTGATCTCTGCTCCGCTGATGGATGGTCTCACCTTGACTCGGGACTTGAGCAGCTTTGGCTCGGTAGGAAGAAGTAATACCTGCGGATCAATACGCTGTCAGCGCCACGTCCTTGAAGCTGGTTGAGTAGACTTAACGAATGACTCACATCATTGCAATATTAAATCCATAAATACACAACATTAGCGAGGTGGAGACAGAAGGGGCCACGAGCTGATTTATGGGATAAACTTCAAGATTTCCACAGCTTTGTTTCCCATCACAAACTTCTAATTAAACCCTCTAAAATGTAATACTTTGAGCCTCATCAACGTTTAAAGTAAGGGTGTAATTATAGCTTTTTCATGTAGAATAGTTTGTTTAATTTGAGTACATTTTAGGATCTTCATTTCAGACCGTCCCTCCAAGTTTTTTGTAAAATGTCAAGTTATTTTAAGTATTCCATTAAAGTTTCAACATCTCTTTTTAGCTCATACGTCTTAAGATCCAGAGAAAATATGACTGAATTGGGACTGGTTGGGTTCTTGGTTGGTTTTGTTGTTTTGATTCATGTTGAAATACTCAGATTGGCCCCAAATACTGAGCATCTTAGTCTGCTCTCGGTAGTAGCAATTGTAAAATTATCAAGATTCCCTTTCTTCCTTAAGATGAATCATCTGGGGACCATGAATGTGTGCAAAATGTTGTGCCAATCCATTCAGTAGATGCTGAGGTATAACTGAAAACGTTGACCTGCTGGTATAGAGTTAGAGGAAACGTCAGATCTTCAAAGTCAGGATTCATTCTCTGGGGACCATGAATATCTGTACGAAATGTCACAGCAATCCATCCTGACAGATGGAGTAGTGGACCAATTTGCCATCCATAGAGCCACGATGCTAGCATGGATAAAAACCAGTACAGAGACATATGTTTTCTGTTCCAAGTTCTCCAAGCATCTCCACCAGTCACAGGAGATATTATATAGCTGTTTCACAGGCTGAGTAATGCTCCCCATGATTAGTCAATTGACTTTGACATGTAAAATCAGTCTAGTGCCCCTTTAGTACCACTTCAAAATCCAATACAAACATTTTTATTGCTCATCTATTTCAAGAACAAAGTCGACTATTGAATAACTGCTCAACATTTTACCCCACAACCCAGGACAGATCAACTATGAAACCAACAATAATCAGTGTTATTGTGTGTGCAATTAAACGTTAACTCTCAAACCATCAAATGTAATTAGAAAAAACGAGAACTCCTTCTGCCAAGAGAAGCTAAACTGTGTTTGTTGGTGAAGTGTGGTGAAGCTTCCTTTAAAACAGGGATTATTATGTCGTCTTCAGAAGACCGATGAAGAGGAGAGAAAAAAGGCAAGCGAGGACACCAACAGAGGCCCCTGTGAAGTAAGAAGAACCAAAGAGAGAGACAGTGGTGCCTTTTAAAAGGAGAGAAACTCAGAAGGGAAACAGAAGAAGACGGAGGGAACATAGTGGAGAGGTATTTGAATATATATAGCGCGCCTTGGGACGGGTACATCTCACAGTATTGATGGTGTTTATCTCCCGCGGGGGTTCACAGAGAAGTTTAGCATTGCTGCAGGCTGGAAAGTACAGCTGGCAGATAACCAATAATGAGCTCTGATTGATGCCTGTAGTTATGCGCGGTGTGGAGCGGTGATACAGGTGACGAATAACACACACACACACACACACACACACACACACACACTGATGCAATAGAAGCACAGGTGAGCTGGCCTGGCTGTTCAGTGCTAAACAGAAGATAATATTCAGTATAAGACATTTAAAAGAAAGATGCCACATGTTTCTGCTTACGTGTCCCCATGGAAAGTTGCATTTGAAGACACAAAAAAAAGTGAAGGGGTGAGGGGAAGACGGAGGGGAGGGGGGGGGGGGGAGATAAAGCAGGCAATCTCCCCTCAAATGAATATTTGATGAGAAGGCTGATATGCTTAAATGAAACGTTATAAATGCACAGCAGCATGAATGGGTTGTCGCAGAAAAGGGAAGAGGGTTTGCTCAGCGTCCAAGCTGTCATCAGCACACACACACACACACACACACACACACACTGCACAGATTATATCAGGGAGCTGACATACTGCCCAATCTACAATATAGCCAACAAAATGAGAGGATTTGGAATAGACTTGTGTCGGGGGATTGAGCTCCACCACATTAAAAAGACATTGCACAAAGTGATCTCTAGCAAAGACACACTCTCAGAGTCCACTCTCCATGCCACAGTGTTATTCCCAGAAGCACATTTTAATCTCTGGAAATGTATCTTTGTACTAACATGATGCTTGTGTGTCCATTAGAGGCTTCTCGGTGTAATTTTCTTCTGCACTTGGCTCCACAATTTTAATTAGTCGTGTGAGAGATACAGAAATACAAAAGCAAAGGCAGAGAAAAGATTGAGGTCGTTATCAATGTTTATGGCCCCACTGCTGCTGCGTTAAAGGCTCTGCATGTCGTAACCCTTCAACTACAAATTAATGAGCGGTGGGGTTTTTATTAATTTTTTTGGTGAAATTTATGGCGCTGCAGTCATCAGGAGGAGCTTCTTTCAAAATGGTTCCTTGTTGGTGCTTTGAAGTACTTCAGTGTTGACTGCTGAACAGGGAAATCTTACTGCAAGGAACCAGACCAAATGGAAGCAAGACATATTACTTTTACCCGAAAGAGAAAAACGAAGTCTGCCTAGTGGTCTGGTCTTTTTATACACATCTGACGTCTCTGTACAAACACACGATGGACCAAACTTCTGCTCGTCAGACTGGAAAATTGAACATTTGAATTCTCTTTCTATCATCTCAAATATAAACTCTACCTCTCTCAAATGTTTTGGTTTCATAATGAATGGCAAGTAGTCTTTGCTGTGTTAACTTTGGGCTCAAATGTTATGCAGCGTCCTCGTCTTTTTCATTAGTTTCTCTCTCAGCTCCTTCAGACTTTGTATCTGCATTTCTAAACCATTTAATGGTCAACATTTCTTTATTAATCATGATTTCTAAAACTATACTTTGTGTCTGCATACATTTCACAAAGATGTAAGCTTGTCTAATTTATCAGTCATTTATTTATGAGATTTGGAGCAAAGTGATGCACTCCGACTTCTCTAAGTGATCGGTGGCAGTTTGGTGTCACTTTAAATCTTTCAAATTCATTGTGTATGAGGTTGTTTGTGGAAATTCAGTTGAGACGACCACGTCAGCCGTCTCGCCGAGACAAGTGCAGAAAAAGCTAAGAGTGAGGGAGATGTCAATGGAGCAGTCAGTACAGTCACGAGTATTTTCACCATTCTGTGACAGAGGAAAGTGTAGAAATTGGGGGGGAAAAGAGGAGAACGACATGCAACAAAGGTCCCACTAAATCATTTGGGTGCAAGATGCTTACATTCTTTTTTTACTCGCCGAGTTGTAACTCAACAGTTCATAAATGCTCAACTAAAAAACATTATTCAACACAAAAGCATTTGTTGTCAAAGAGCACATTTCACTCAGGGGTTTGTTTGGGGTTAAGAAATCACGTCTCCCACTGACGGCCAATGTATCAGAGGCAGCAGAGGACAGTGTGTATGTGTGTGTGTCTGTGTGCGTGTCTGTGTGTGTGTCTGTAGGTTGAGCTGACGAGGACGTTAGTTTTGATGTTACAATGTAGATCGAAAAACAAGTTTTTCTTTGGTTTTCTTGCCAAATAGTGAAAAGAGGAAGCACGAGTTGAGTGATAGGAAAGCAACCTTTATTTAAAAAAGAAACATAAATATACCTACAGGAGTTACAGATGAGAGAAATAAGACCCTTCACTTGAAGAAATTGCATAATTAAGACCTGCTTCCATTCAAAAATAACCATTTCAATTGTTCTGAATGAGCATGAGCATTGTTAAACTAATAAGAGACGACTGGTGTGACGTGCAGTAGTGAATGTTAGTCCTGGCTTTGTTGAAAAACAAAAGGTTTGCAACAACAAGGTTTTTATCACTTCAGAGCATTCTCAACTTAACAGCACAACATGTTCTACCCCTTAGCAAACATGCAACTACAAAATACTTCTAAATGTTTTTAACTTCTGATTCAAGTTAACATTCGCACAACACGCATTCAGCCGCACAGAAAGAGTTAATGCTCAGATCAAAGAGGATTTACAGTGAGACTCTACTCAAAAGGGCTAAAGGTCACCATTACAGATGTTAGGAAGAACACAGTGTTTCACTCCAAGCCTCCATCTTCTGGAGTAATGACTGGAGATGAATCAAGGGAGCAGAAGCTTCTGAAAACATCATTAGTGGCTGTAAAGTTGGATGAACATCTGGATTAAAAATACTTGAATTCAATTAAGTCCAAACGTTCATGTGTGAGTTAACAGTCCAGTCAATACTGAAGACTGCACACCAGTGCAATACGGGCACTTCCTTAAATTATCGCGCACACACACACACACACACACATCGACAACAACCACAAAGGGAGCGAGTCCGGACAGTTTCCAGGCGTTTCTCTGAGGCGCATCCAGCCCGTCAGCGTGTCTGCCTCAGTTTCCATCGTTCAGTTCACAGGAGGACAAATCACGGAGAAAACAATCGAGGACTGTCCTTGTTAGTGTGTGTAATGGCTGTGTGTGTGTGTGAAGGTATGTGTTCGTGTCCCCACACACACACACCCCCACACACACACACACACACCCCCACACACACACAGTGTACGTCCATCTGAAGGGAGGAGGCGGCTGGAGGAGTGTGTGCGTCTCAGGAGATGGTGGAAAACTCTTTGAGCAGGACGTCCTGACTCAGTGTGTTCAGAGAGACATTCTTCCTCACATTCAGACTGATGGAGCGCACCTGGAGACACAGAGGGACATTTATTACCAGCTCAAAGAGATACCAAACTGTGCAAGTTGTACTTTGAAGTGTAGGATAGAGCTTCTTTAGAGGGTTTCAGAGACAAGAAGTCAGGCTATCTGAGCCTGTGCTGCTTCCATATGGGCCGTTCTTATCTCGATGTTTGTCTCATGAGTCACACATAAATCCGTAGATTTTATACCTCATTCTTATTGGTTTATGTTTTATTAAATACATCGTATAATTTATTATATAGTGCTTTATTATCTAAAAGAAAGGGTGAAAATCATATGCATTATATTACAAGAGTGCAGGTGAACATTTTACTTTAAAAATAACATTTGCAGACACTAGTTTAATTCTTCTTCTTCTTTACAGGAAGCCAGCGTGATCCGTGTCGGGCTGCAGCAGGAAACACTTTTAGGTGCATAGGGACATTAAATCTCGGTTAAAAAACAAACTATTTGCTCCTTTAAATCAGAATTACGTCATGTTGCAGTTTAGTTCCGTGTCTGTTACAAATGTCATCCCTTCTTCATTTTATCCTATTAAGACATTCTTGTTAAATTATCATAATTAGCATTTTAATTACTGAGCCAAAAACGTGTTTTGTGTAGTCAGTGACCTTTGACCACCAAATTCTAATAATTTTAGCCTCGAGTCCTTCGTTCACACGGACGGACAACCCGAAAAGATGTCGCCGTGTGGAGGCATAAAAAGTAGGGTCCTTGTCATTTAAACCCTCCTCTTTGATGCAGAGCGTCCTCCACGCCTGTGATTCTGACTTTATATGCAGTGACACCACGGAACCTGAATCTTAGGAGACCTCTCTAAACCCACAATGCATTGCTCTCCATCCCTTACCAGCTCCTTGAAGAAAGCAGCCTCTTTGGGCTGCTCCGAGTATCTCTCGAACTGGTCCAAACCATCCTGCAGTTTAAGCGTCAGCGTGTCGTAGTTGGACCGAACCACCTCCAACACCTAACGGGGTCGACGGATGAGGGGGAAACAGAAAATGAACATGTTACATAACTCTGTGGTTAAAGCATCGCACAGTGAACACGTAACCTGAATAGTCAAATGTTAATTACCGTGTTTAATACTTCATCACAACATCTTTACTCATGAGGGATCATGATCTGGTTCCTCTCCTAACTGCTCCCTGTCAGACTCTCTTATCAGGGATGTGAAACACAAAAGCATCACCTGCAACTTGCATTGATGTTTTTAAGCATTTTGTTTTGCTTTCTCACTCGTTTGTTTTGTTCCGTTTCTCCACAGTATGAAGCGTCATTAGCCAGAACCCCGTGAGGTTTATCTCTCACTGGTGCTTTAATTGTGCTTCTTTATCTCCAGATGAGCCGACTGCGCGTCTGCGTCCGTCTTCTGTACCAGCGAGATAAAGTTCCACTTTGAATGAACAAGGCATTTTTTGCTTTAGGAAGGATTCATTCATTCAGGACAAGTATAAATCAAGCAAATACAGTACTGCGAGTGTGTGTACTTTGTTATTAAGTGAAGGACAAACACACACACACACACACCACCCCCCGATTTGAGAAGGTGAGCTGAAATCAGATGTAATTATGCAGCGGTTCTCCTCTCACCCCCCGCCATCATTCAGCCGTGAAACAGCCCCCGAGCAGACCGCTTTCATTATTTTTTTTAATGACCCTGCAACACTCCACACAGCATGAAACATTCACAATGAGATGCGTGAGCCGCACTTTGTCGTGTTTCCCAGAGAAGCTCTATAGACACACACACACACACGTCTTTTTTTCCAATAAACACACAGATGTGAGCCTTTACGTTTTCAGCGTATGCACACACAACACTTATCCTCCTCTAGCTCTGGTAGTACATCGACTGTGCAGCTGAATCATCTTTCTAAAATGTAATCAACAGAGGGGAAAAACAATCTGAATTTAAGAATAGTCAAGAGACAATGTAACCTTTCCCACATGCTGTTTTAGCAAAGACGGGGGTGATAAGCATTTGGTTCAGCGTTTTGCTGCACACACTCCACTCCGCTCAGCAACTCTTTGCATCACTGGGCAGATGATGTTTTGTGGACACGCAGTTGTCATCGTATTCATCTTGAAGCGCGGGTACAAAAGGAGCCGTGTGTGTGCTGGAGTGCGTCTCCACTCGAATATCGCATCGTGTGTGTGAGAGACAGACAGACAGCAGCTCGTTTAAATGCTGCGTGTTTCTGGAGGCCATCCATCTTCTAATGTCACTGTGGGGAATGAAGACGATGCAGGCGGATGGAGTGCAGGTGGTTACTGTGTGTGTGTGTGTGTCGAGCACTGTATGTCAAATCTTCATTGAAAAACGAGGAAGGGAGAACAGAAGTACAGTAAAGAAAGATATCTTGGTCTGAACAAGTCCCTCCATTGAACAAAGTTCAATACATCTCTGCCTCCGTTCTGCCCCATGACTCAGGTTTGTGCACCAGAACCTGGAGCGCTACGTCGGTTACGTTAAAGTTCATTCTGTTCAAATAACATAGTAAACCAAGTATACAGTACAATGTGAAAGTATTTAAAATGGGATGTTTGACAGATAAACAGCTCAGCATTACAAATATGCAAATATGTCCATCGCAGCTGTTCATCGAGGTCCTTCTTTAATAGATTGCAGAGCGCTCCGCGGGGGTTTGTGTAATCTTTGTGTCGGATGGTTTGGACAGGATGAAGAAAGCCTAATTATTAAAGCACTCCGTCAGTGTGGATCTCTTCCTTTAAAGTCCTGTTCATGTGATCGTGCTGCTCTGTGGTTCACCCTCTCATAAAAACCACAGCGCGTTAGGAGACACAGCACGTTCCAGCCGGCTGTCATAGATGTGCTGTGCTGCGATAAGGGCCGAGCACTTCAAATCTATATCAATGCGTCGATAAGAGTACCTTTCTGGCTTCATTCTGTCCTCAGGATGCCATTACTCCTCTACATCTTTACATAGCAGCTCGTTATTTGCTGCTATATCAATGCTCTGAATGCTGTATATAAAATGCTTAAAGTGGCTGCAATTGATAAATCGTTGGTCAAACAATTTTTAAATACAGGCACACAACCGTTGTACTAGCAAATGATCAGAAATAGAGTTACTTTATCAAATGAGACGCGTGTTAATATCACAAGAGGAGAATCATACAAACCACTGGCCGCTCATAGACAGCACAGCTAACGGCTGCCTTCCCTCTTTGTTGTGAATAAATCTGGCAGATAAAAGCGGAGAGGTAATTGAGGAGTATAATGACCGAATCCATCACTCTGTTATCAGCTTGTAAAAAGATAAATAAATAAAAAAGTTCTCCTCGAGCTGTTTTCCTATCGTGACGTAAATGATAAAGTCTTAAGTGGAACGCACAGCGCTGGTATCGGTGAAGTTCAGCCTCCTTACAGACGATGATGAGGGAATAACTCAGCGGTTCAGAAGCAGATAATGAGTGCGTTTGCAAAACAGTGGGCTTCAGAATCTGCAACATTTACTGTACTTAAGAACGTACACACAGAAATCCAAGTTTGATGACGTGAAGGTGATGTTTCACGTCGTGAATAGGCATTCTTTCAAAATAAAATACAGTAAAGCCCTTCTCAAGGAACGTACTTTGTGTTACTGTGTACTAATAAGATTTACTTTGTAAAAGTGTAAAAATAAGAAGCGAGTGATGTTTACCTGTTCTTCGGACAGCTGGGAGATGTGGTTCACAGCCGCGTACGACTCAATCTTGGGATTAAAATGGTTGACGATGGCCCTTAAAGACAAAAACACAAACAGTTGTGAGATGAAGCAAGTATGGACATTACCATTTATGTGCGAGGATGTAAAGCCTATAACCAACACCACACAATGTGTGGTTACTTCTTGTTTAGGTGCAAACTAATAACATAATAATATTCAATATGTGAAGGATTGCAGTTAGCAATATTGACAGCAAAGTTCTGAGTTAAAGACTTATAATAACTTATAATAATCATTCCGATTCATCGCCGTCTCGATGCCTCCTTCATATCACGCGAGCACACCAGGGAGGTTCAGATGTAAATCCAGAGGCGATCTCTTCCAGCATCAGCATTCATTCCCATGAAATAAACTGCTTTGTGGCACAAATTGAAGTTGATGCAATGGCTTATTTTGTGCTGGCTTAGGAGGACGTCGTATATATCAAATAAATTATAGTGACAAAGAAAATGCAGAGAATTCGCCATCGTGGTAATTCAGTTGTGTGTGTGTGTGTGTGTGTGACGCCGGCGTATGGAGGGTTGAGGTGATGGGAGTGAAATAGAATCGGTCCTCAGTGGGTTTCTTTATTCCTCTTCCATTCATTCATCAATTCTTTCAAATATTCCTCTTTTCAATCTTCTTTCTCCCTCCAACCCTCGCGAGTCTGCTCCGTCCCAGGAGCCCAGTCGAGTGGGTGACTCCTCGGGGGGAGCATCCCGCTCGTATACGGGCGGCCCTCGGGGGCCTCCGAGCCAGGGTGACCTCGGAGGATCAACTCCTCAGAGAAGACGGAGGAGAAAGGAGAGATTGCAGGGTAAAATGGTGGAGGAGAGACCAAGTAGAGTATGTGCGTGGACTGGAGCGCGGTTGTGTTGGAGGAGATAAAGGCTTAAAATGTATTTAATAAAAAAAAGGGCCTGAGGGAGGGAGGGGATGGAAGACGCTGGGGATGGGAGACCTACATTACAGACCCAGAGACTTAACTTCATTCCCTCCGTTTTGACCTTTCTTCATTACATTTCTGTTTGAAAAATTCCCTTCAATCCAATGTGACTCTTTTCTGTGTGTGTGTGTGTGTGTGTGCGTGTGCGTGTGCGCGTGCGCTTTTACCGAACATTGACAAGGGCATGCGTGACTTTGCTGGCTGCCTCCTTCCACTGGCCCGTGTTGGTTGATACTCTCAGAACTGGAAGGCAGAGAAGGACAGATTAAAAACAGAGTTAGATGCACATTTACAGTCACAGTAGAAACACGACTAGTTTAGGGCAATAGAAGAAAGACTAGAACATTCTAATGTGCATTTGCAAGAAGTTTTGATTTGTTTTTTAACTGTCGAGTTATAAAAACACTGGAATTCATTGGTGAATAAAACTAGTAACTACTTGTTTGTGACGGCTAGTATTATTTGAGATAACTTGAATAACAGCTTTGACATTAGAATTAATAATAAGTCAGGTTCAACACTGCAGTTTCTACCAACGTACCCATACAGTAGAGGTTGTCGAAGACCTGGTGCATCCGTACGATCTCATAGTACAGCTCGTCGTAGCTGTTGGAGGTGGGCAGGAACGTGTCGCCGTATGTTATAAACATGTTGAACAGGTTCACCTCCTGGATCGGGAGACAAACACGGGTTGACTAATACATTTCACTCTCAACAAAAGAAGAAAAACAAACGTTTTCTAATGGAAATCATATTTAAACGGCATCTGTTTGTGCATACACAGCCCGTCTGGCCTCTTATGTCTCCTCTTACCAACCAATAAAAAGAGGTCAGACTCTTGTGTGCGGCTTCAGTCATACTGTAGCACAGCTGGGCTACGAGCAGCACCGCTTATACAACGTGTCAACGTGTGTGTGTGTGTGTGTGTGTGTGTGTGTGTGTGTGTGGGGCTCACCAGTAAGGCCAGGTGAAAGATGTTGTGCTTGGCCAGCAGTGTCGTCTCATTTGACAGCAGGAACTTCAGCAGGTTGATGAGAGCTGTGCAGAGGCAGACATGCACACATGAATGAAATAATGTGGAGCGCCGATAGTCGTCTACCAGCAGAGGCTCATGGCAGCAGTCCTCTTTCCTCAGTGAGCTTCTTTATTAAAGTAGATAATGGAAACTCAGGCGGGGGGGGAAACCTTTCACAAGCTTTAATAGAGGAAAACAAAACCCATAAGAAGAACCAGAATGTGAGCTTTTAACACGCTGGCACAACACGCTGGAAGAAGATAAACACATCTGTGGCTTTAATTCAGCTCATTTTTTTTGCCGTTATCACCGGCAGGAGAACAGGGTCAGTGTTACTCAGGGAATTAAACGGATTATTGGTCCGATTAGAAGAATCTGTATTCTAATGAGACACAGTGCGATGGCGCCATTACAAGCTGAAATGTGCTATTGTGTGTTGACCGGGATGGGAACAAGGCCACCAGGATGGATTGTGCTTTCTTCAGACTCATTATCCAATCTCAATGATGCAATACATTTCCAAAACAACAGGCCCGATGACATCAGAGGGAAATTGGCTTTGTGTAGCAAACGCACTTAACTATCTACCCAACTCTTAAGGTGATGCCCAGCAAATCAAAAAATGTTTCAGATTTAAAATTATACACATTTGGTGTCCTCGCTGAAAGAGAAAGCGAGGCATCTTTACCTGACCAGAGCTCTCTCCAGGTGTAGTGTAACCGGATTCTGCACTTCTTCTGGTAGCACAGGAGTTTGTGGATGATCTGCACACAGCGCCTGCACAGGAAGCACATAATAGTGTGGTGACGGAGCAGGTTGGTGGACAAGACCAGAACAATGCGTGTGTGATGTTTGTGCGTGTCCTCACAAGTATAAATCCATGGGGAAGTCCTTCATCATATGAGTGACTATAAACTCCACCATCAGATCTAGACAAGAGGGGACAGACGAGGGCAGTGTGGGCACAGGAGTAAAGCAATGTACTGAGGTGAACGAAGACCTAATTAAATCAATATCACTGTACGCTATATCCGTTATATCCATGCATGTCCTCTTCAAAAGGCACCAGACTCCATTGACAAAAACACTCACTTTTACCTTGCAGAACACCAGAGTTGCTGTGTCTACCACTAACTAACAAGCCATCAAGAATATCATATGACTATGGACTCACAGTTTGAGGCCACAGTAAACAACCGTTTTTAATGTCCCTCATACCTAGAACAGCACACACCAGCGGACGTGAAGGGATGTTCTTGTCCACGGCTTTTTTTCTGTGCCTCATGGGCTGAAAACAAAGACAATTGAAACATACAGTAAGTAGGAAAAAGAACACGTTTACGTGCACTTAAGTAACCGGGATACTCCAGTAAGACGATTTCATAAACGTAACGGAGACAAGAAAGCTGGTTACTCAGAGAACCCTGGTTTCTCAGCCATGTATGAACATAATCAGGTTTCTAATGTCTACAAGTACATCTGTGCATGTGAGACCGGGAGAGTAACAGCTGAGAAATGGTGGATGAAAAGAGAGATCACATCATGTAGCGCTGCATTCTGTTATTTTAAATAACTCCGTCCAAATTATGACCGAAACTAACACCAGTCCCAATACGCTGAATATTTACCTCCTGTTTGTCTGCTACGATTATAACGTTTTGAATTTGTTGTGTCAATTCTGTGCTCTCACCGTCACTCACTCCCGAACAGAAACTCACCATTCTGTGGAGATTGACTCTGAAGTTCATGTTGTCATCGTGAAGAAAGGCATCGGCGTACTGGTCCTATCACACACACACACACACACACACACAGAGGTGAAGTCAGAACAAAGACGATCTGCGGAGCGAGCAAACGCTGCAGAGTGTGGCTGCTCCTACCTCGGCTATGCAGGTGAGGATGATTAGGCACAGTCTGGCACTGTTGAGTCGATGCTCATCTGCAAACACAAACAAATATGAGACTCTTAACAGGTAAAAAAGGACAGGACAGGTTTTTGTTGCTCTGGTGCTTTGAGAGCGACTAAAACAGATGAAGGGTGGGGGAGAGAACAGCATTCATTTGTCACTGCTGTCTAGGTCCGCTACGTGAGAACACGTCAGGACAGAGGCGTAGAAGAACAAGTGAAAGAGGGGAAGAGTTGTAGGAAGGTAGAGTGACAGAGACAAAGAGGAGGACATGAAGGTGTCCGCTTACCTTTAGTATCCTGCATTACAATGGAGGCGTACTTGAGGAAGGTGATGAGGAGGTTGCTAGTCTGCAGGTTGGGATCCAGAGGCAGTTCTGGGTTGTTCATCACTACACAGCAGATATATACACGAATAAAGCATGTTCACTGCAGATAGAATACTCACAGAAATATGAACTAAACAGAAAGAAAGGCCATGACACAATTATGATGAATCAAGCTTTAAAGTAGGTCAATTATTCCATCCAATAATAACCTGAGCTCAAAATCTACTCTAAAAACGAGAGTTACAAAAGAGCCGCCGTCCTTGTTTGGGCGGCCAGACGGAGTGCTCACTCAGGCAAATAACAGCATTAGAAAAACACACGTCTTTGTCTCATTATTGTAGCTGCTGTAGCTCGCTGTGTGGTGTAGACAAACGTCTTAATCCATTTAAAAATCTCTGCTCTTTGAAACGTAGATTTTGTTTTCATGGATAAATAATGAGCCGGTCATTTCCATCTCCCCTCTTCCATGCTAACCCTCATTTTGTTTCCTTCATATCACAGCGGGGCTGTCAAGGAACATATCGTCACGCGGGAGCCGTCCTGTGGAAGGACGAGGCGTGTTCCCGACGCGTGATTGCCGGCACGTGTTGAGTCTGGTCAGAGTAGAGGGACTCTAAGTGCTGAGGATCCCATGACATGGCACAACGCGCGCAGCATTGAAACATTCATCTGTATTTAAAGCTGGAGGTTAATATTTCATACAGAAAATGGCTCTTAGCTTTGAAGCAATAGAGGGAGAGCTCGAGATAGACACATGCACCTTTTAGCAGCTACAGCGTGTGTGCATGCTAAATGACCTGCTTTTAAATGTGCCAGCAATAACATTCACCTGCCAGGAAACCTCAAGTGACAGCCACGCACTCGAGTCTAAAAGAGATATTAACAAGCGTGCGGGGTGGTGTAATAATCGGATTATTAAGATGTAATAAACCAACATTACTGTGTATGAGCGCCTCTCTTCGGATAACCTTAAACATCTGTTGAATGTTTGAAAAGGCGTGGGTGCACGTGTGCCTCCGTATGCGTGTGCCTGTGTCAGAAGTGACGGAGAGTTGCCATGTTTGGAGAGAGTATTTAAAAATGTATGTAAAAATGCTGTTAAGATTAAATTTAGACAAAAAAAAAAAAAAAGAGCCCTGATCCACGTGATGCCAGAAAGCTTTAGAAATCCTTCACTTCATCTTCGGCCCGTTCTGGTGTTTTGACGGGATTCATATTTCAGTTTAGTCCCATTCTGTTTCAAGGTGAGGCTGTGGTATAACAACACCAGAACTGACGAGACAAAGTGCTGCTGTCTTATCAGGTGGAGAACACCATCGCTGAATATTGAAGCCAGTATTTGAGGCCATAAAGATTCAGTTTCTGTAACGACCACAAGACTTAAGCAAGGCTTTTAGGTAACAGAAGTGTGACTGAGATCATAATGTTCAACGCTACACTTCACCATAAAGACTGTTTACAACATTGTTAAACATCCCGGTGCAGAGATAGAGAAGTAGACCCGACTACAGACGGGAGACCAACGGGCATCACAGACACATCAACCGTCGATGTCTCCCCAAAGACAAGTGTGCACGACTTACTGTCTAAGGAGGGCGGCGTTGTGCCGAGTGGTGACGTAGGCGTGGTTGGAGTAGGGGTGGTGGGTGTGGTTGGGATGTCCATCTCAGGGTGGCTCTGTTGATGGATCAAAATCACACGTTTGTGGAATGTCATTGATAAAGAAAAGCTGTCCCTTCTGTCCCATAAAGTGGAGAAAAAAGCAACAATACAGGCAAGAACTGAGAGAAGGGAACAGGAAGCCATTTACATGAGATTACTTCTGGTAGTGCAAAACATTTCATTAATCACCGACGCTAATGTATGAGATTTGTACACAATTACAGCATTGTAAAAAGCAGGACAGTGGCTTAATGTCCTCACAACGGAAGTGTTATTGTTGCTGTCCTAATTTGACTCGTCTGCACCACTCAGTTACATCGGATAGCTCAAACACTGAATATCAAAGTCCCCACAGGGAAAGATAAAGTCAACTGAATGATGGAAGAGAAGTGATTTTCACATCTTGTGCACCTTTAAAGATACATGTACTAATAGTAGCACAACATTGCTGTATTCCAACTCTCCTGCAGACATATAAGATGTTCTACGTCAATCAGAAGACAGTTTTACATGACACATTTTTCACAGCAAAATAATGAAGATTTAAAAAGGGACAAAAAAAAGCTTATATTACCAATATTGTTTGCCAAATATCACAATATTCGCGGGTTCTTATTGTAAATGATTAGCGTCAGCTCACCTGTGCTAATACAGTGATGAAGTTGCGGTTGAGGTGCACGGCCTCATAGAGCGCCAGCAGAATCGCCTCATTGGTCCTTGAGAAGAAAGGGGAGTCAGGTCATTCATTCATGAAGTAAAAACATAACCGGGCAGGAAGTAAAGCTCCAGGCTTTGATCCGGTGAAGCTCAAGACACAAGCTGAGTAATTAGCTTCAACATGTGGTTTCCCACTGGAGTCTTTTACAGAGGACGAGCCAAAAGACACGGCAGCAGTCTTTGACTGATGGGTCAGAATTTAAATCGCTTTGTACTTACTGTACAGAGAGTTTCTCATCAGCGTCGGCTATAAACATGCTGCCCACCTGTGGACAGAAGAAGGATCGAGCCATCAGACAACACTGTTAAAAAGATCAGTTGTCCCACTTGGAGCTGCAGATGAAACTCTTCGACTACCAAATACATCCTAATGTCAGAAATGCCAATAAAGGTGAAATATATCTACTGTGACGATACGAAGTAAGAATAAGACCGTACCATACTAGTGAGGGTGGAGAAGAACCCGCCCTGGTTCTCCTCCTCTTTGTCTTTGTACTGCCTTTATGGGGAACAGAAAGACAAAGAAGGAAAGTGAGACGTAATAAAAAAAAAAGAGAATGACGAATAAATGAAAGACAGGTAGGGAGGCAGCGAGATATACATTTACACTTAAACACAGCCCTGTAGCCCAACATCTCCTTCTACTCCCCACAACGTATTATCTGAGGGCGGGTCGTCTCTACACTCAGAAACAATGAACTGTACGGAGCCGTCATCCGTCACTTTGATGCGTCTGTCTACGCACGCAGGCAGACAAACAGCATTGTAATTTCCAAACCTTCGCCTCATCCAAAAAAACATTACCGACCGCCAAAGAAAACTGTCAGATATAAATAACTAAAAGTATAAAAAGGAGCCTGTTGTTTCTCAGAATAGAAATGGAACATTTGTGGGAGACATCAAACCAAGCTGATGACACCGAGGACTGCGTCATTATAAACGCGTGTCTTTCACAGTTTTCAGATCTCACCTGTTGTACTCTGTCAGAGCGTGGTGGACGACCATTCCCATTCCCTGGGAAAGAAAAAACATGCAGTGTTTCAGTCAAAGCCTTGATCTGCCTCCACCACACTGGCTGTTTATTGTTCTGCAGTTCAAACCAATACAGTAAGTGACAACATACTCACATCTAGTGTTGGCTCATCGTCCACGATGGAGAGCTTCACAATGTAAGGATTCACCGACTAACAAACAAAAACAATCAGTGTAATTAGAGGCCGTTCAATATTTGACGTTATATTGACCGTTAACGGGTAATTCTCTTTTCATTTTATCCCCTCACTCAAAGGGCTCATCTGCAGACTTACATGCAAGGTTCAGTGCTGCAACTAAAAATACACGGAGCTCAGTTTTTCTTGATAACACACAAGAGAAGCAAAGCCCGTGTGCTTCTGGATTATAGAAGCAACTCCATCTCCATTTGTAGGATGTTTAGCAGTATTTGTTATCACGCAGCCATGACCTAAAATTAGCAACAGGTTGAACTATTCAATTAACTTCTATGTTCATGTCTGATTACATGTGCGTGTGACATGTGCTACGTCTTGTTGCTGCATCTAAAAATGTTTGAATTGAAATTCCAGTTAATCTCAAGATTATCTTTTTTTAACCAAGCTGCTGGTGTTTGATTTTTTTACTTTAACAATAAATAACAATTCAGTAAATCTACATATACGTATCCATTTGTGAAATCTTGTTTTGCAAAGTTAGGAATAAGTCAAACACGTTGAACGATCACTTCCACATCGTACACATTTGGCTTGTGAGCACTAAATGCTCCTTGAGCAGCTGTCCACTTCGCTCACACATGAGGGTGCATCCAGAAACCCCTCTCTCCTCCGCCTCCTTTTATCCCCTCCCACCCTGCTACTCTCATCCTTCCAGGAAATAACTGAAGAGGGAAGTCAATTGGAAGCCATTTCAGAGAACATGATTGCTTCTTGGTCATAAAAATCTCAGACAAGTGTCTCTGTGATACCGGATACATCTCAGGTCAGCGTTTTTATGTTCATCTGGTGCCAAATAGAGATGTCTTGTTCACCTGCACAAATATCCTTATTCATAGCTTCATGAATTAATCTGTTTTCTCCTCAGACTACACTGGATTTACTAATGACATGAAAACATTTTATTATTATCATTTTCTATATGAAGATATTTCTTATTCTGCCCGTTTATTATTTTATTTAAATATCCCCTCTGTGCCGATTACTTTACCTCATTTCAAAATGACTCCAATGCTACACGCACAGTTGTGAGAACTATGACAATGAGTCTTGAATGCACAAGTGACATGTATGTGGAATATTACAGCTCAGTAATAAATATTGTGAGAGGTAAAGTTCCATGTGCGTGTATGTACACACCTCATACTTCCTGTAGTTGACCAGCAGAGCCAGGAGGACCACAGTATCGTACCCATGCTGCCCTCTGCTGGACACTTCTGACAGAATCTGAGGAGGGGACAGACGGAGAACAGAGATGACCACATTCGGAAGAAGACATTTCTAAAATGAAAAGAAATTACAGTAGATATAGTCTTACCTGTAGAATGGCTTCAAAGATGCTGTTGATCATCACATATTCCAGTATGGTGTTCTGACTAATGTTGTCCGTTACCTGTCAACACATTTTGTTCACACGTTTGTGATGTTTAGCGTGTTTTTAAAAACAATCATTCCCCAAAGCCGATCACATTATAATGCATCTCCGTCTCACCGTCACCAGACACAGCAGCAGTTTGAGACAAAGGCTCTTCAGACTCTCTGAGCCATCTCCACAAAGAAGGCTGTCCAGTCTCTCCATTAAGTCCTGCAGGAGATACAAACACAAGACATCAAGTGAATGAACACCAATCAATATTTTCACTCCTTTCTTTCACCTCTCAATGGGTTTTTTTTCCACCCACCTTCATCCTTTGCTCAGCCTTGTCAAAGCCCATGAGCATGTTGATGATGTCAAAGCCAGACGCAGACTTGTTCTTCTGGTGAACCCCCCGGAAAAGTGCACAGAGTGTCTGGGGAGAGACGCAGACGAGCTCAGGTGTTAATACTGCGATTCATGTTTTCACATTAACGCATCTTTTTTGGCGGTACAGTGGCAACACAAAACTAAATCCATGAAGCTGATAAGCTAAGATAATTTGATTACAGTTACATGCTTCAGGTATTACTGATGTGATTGCAACACGTGCGATGTTGGAGCTTTAGTTACCTGCAGGGCATTGACCACTTTGATCTGGTGCTCCTCTCCCAGAGCCTGAACACAGTGGTGGAACAGAGAGTTGATGTTGTCCTGGATCCGCTGAACCTCCTCCCCATCTACACTCTCCAACTTGGACTCTAGGTACTCCAGGTTCACCTGAAACATGGTGACGTAAAAAAAACATTGAGTGAGGAGAAGATAGTTTGTGTTAGTGCACGTGTATAAGAGTGGAGGATGATTAGGACGTTATTAGGGCGTGCCCCTCTATTATTATATGAACAGGTTTTTGCACATATATTACAAATGATCATTTCCATTTCTATTTTTGAAGACTGCATTACTGATATTATCTGTATGTCTCAGTTAACTGTACTGATACCTTTTTTGACAATTTGCATTTCTACTCAACAAGCTGATCTTTTTAAGTGTTTTTCTCTTTCACGTTACCTTCATAAGAAACAGCTCATCCCAGAAGCGAGAGTTGTTTTTTGCTGGGTCTTCTTTCTAAATCAAAAGGAAGAGACAGGACTTTGTTAACACTTGAGCAGAATTGTATTCCTTTACTTTCCATCACTGACGCTCTGCTATCGTGATACTCACCGCAAAAATCTCATCGTACATCAGCACCACCTTCTCTTTCAAGGGTTTCTTAGAGGATGACGACCTCCTCAGCAGCCCCGCCTTCTTCTCCACCTGAGACATGACTAAGTCTGAGGAAACAGAAGCTCGATGAAGAAGTACATCAAGGATGTTCAAAAATAAATGGTGTGAATCACCACATTTTTATTCTATTCTGTAGATTTAACATGTATGTTACACTCAAACCAAAACCAACAATGAAATTATCTCTCTCTCTCTCTCTCTCTCGGAACTCTCCGACTTCCCCAGCCTGTCTGTGGTTTAAAGTCTCATGCCCATTCTTTCCTAAAACCTGTCACAATTATATAGTTTCATGTTTAAACACTGCTAAATATTTGACTAAAACAGCTAGGTACTGTAGTAGCAAATGCTAGTCAAAGAGGAGTACATTGTGTGTTTGTCCTGAACTATTTTGAGCCAGAGGATTGGTGCACACTAGCGCTATTTACAAAAGTAAAGTAAACTACAGTGCCCATTTTCATCATTATGAAGAAATACATCAGCCAGATGATTAGGGCAATACTTGTTAGTGGGATTAATTGATGTATGCGTGCTTACTCATAACCACTACAGTCTCCAACGTTACTCCAGTGGGCTGCACTGTCCGACGTACCAGTCATGGCTGCTCTCGAGAGGAGAACTCTGTTTACTTCACAACCTAACTCGTCACCAGAGGCACAACGTTAACTATATCAAAGTTAGCGTTAATGGCTGCTGTACTATCTCACTCTGTTCAGAGTGACAGAGAAGCAGTGTGCCTGGAAGCTGTTCTAGTAACGTTAACGACACATCATTGAGTCGACTGGTGAAGTCAAAGATGTCAGTGACATACCGGTAAATAAGCTAACGTTAGCTAACGTTAGCTAGCTAGGTCTTACGTTAGCTAGCTAGCGAACGTAAACGTTTAGGTTAGCTAGGTCGGCAAAGTAGCATGTTACAAGTAACGTCTACGTAATCCGCGTAGCTCACGCATATTAGCTTAAGACATTTTAAATTAGTAAAGAAATGTCATCTATTTGCTATAACGTTAATTGATGGAACATGATATATGTTAGCTGGGTTTGCTAACCTGAGTGCAAGTTATGTTGGTAGCTCGTTAGCTACTATTAGCCAACTCGCCTATCTAATCTACATCTAATTAGCGACTAACAGCGACGTGGTTTTGCGAACAAGCAGGTTTTGTCCAGTCGACACTCGATGAACATTTAGTTTATCATCAGTGAGGTCACTCATGTGAATCTACTAATATGTTCAGACTTCACAGCTAAAGCTAACGCTACCTCTAGCTAGCTAGGTTAATACCTGACAGACTAGGGTGGATACATTGATTTAGCGTTAGCTATTTAATGTCAGGGTGCGACTGTTGACAACATTGAAGTGTTACATTATTTAGGTAGGTACAGCTTAGTCAGTGGTGTGGTTTGTTCTTACCTCAATTAAAGTATTAAAATTAAAAAGCTAGCTCATGAATCCTTGTGACAACACTAGCTTGTGCTAGCATACTGCTATCATTAGCATCCTCCTGCTGGTCTTCAGGGTCTTAGTGCCCACAGATTCTTCTTCTGTAAGGTTTAACAGCAGAGCCACTATTTAATAAACTAAGGAAACATATCTTTAGTGGGCATAAATAATATTTTCGGATTCTGTAATGTCATTCAGACCACAGATGCATAGGCCAGTAAATTAATAAACAAATAAAAATATACAGGTAAAAACACTGCTCAACTTTTGAGGGGAAAGAAAAAACTAAACCTGGGCAACCTTACTTTAACAGATACTGCAGAAAAAAATAATGAATTAATTGCAAGTTATTTAATTTATCAAAAAAGAAGAAATTGCTCATGATTTTATTAAAGCAGGGAGAAACAGAGACACAAACATGCATGTTTGCATGTTGAAGAGCAGTGTAAATTAAATGAAAATGACAATATATTCATATTTGATGAGACTTTTGGTATGAAAGCTCTACATTTGAACCATACAGGTTTTACATTTCTTTTTCTGCGATGATTATGGTCTCTCGCTAAGTTATGTCATCATCGATACGACACCATCTCCATTTCATCTCAAACATTCATATTTGCACTAATTACAGTATTTTAATGGCAGTTTGCTTCCTGATCAACCACACAGAGGAAATTAGACAAGATGCAAAATAACTGCTTTTGAACTACAACAGATTGTTGATGAGAAAAAGAGTCTAACCTCCTCTGGTAGACCCGTTTCTCTGCACCAAGATAATAAATTGGAAAATAGTTTTGTCTCCAATTTAAAGCAACACTTGATGCTTCCATACTTTGACCTCATGAGTTCCTTGGTAAATTAACTTTACCATCAAGAGTGCTATATTTCTGGTAAAGACTACATGGAGCACCTCAATTTCCGGACTAAATGAGACGAGCTCCGCTTTTACCGCGTCATTAGACATAGGAGGAGAGGAAAAAAAAAAAAAAACACAGAATATAATGAGCAGTAGAAGAGAAAAACATCAGTTGAGAGGTGAAAGAGAACATTAACTGACACACAAAGGCAGGTAGACAAAGTTACACTCCAACTGTCTGAACAAACAAACAAACACACACATTCAAAAGGAAGGTTGAACTTCTCTGTAGCTTAAAGATTTGCTTGTAGTTGTGATTTTTTTTAGCCAGAAGCTCAGGATTAAGGAGCATAGAGGATGAGCAATGTGGCAATATCAGTGTTACTTAGCACTTTAGAGAAAATCATGTCTATTCGTGACCTCTGACAGATAGTACACTCCTGTAAAATCTAGTGCAACAGGCTACCCTCTGGAATACTCTCCTAAGCCTGCTGCCCCCATGACCCGGATAAGCAGAAGTCGATGGATGGAGTGTAACCAACATCAGATAGAGACCTCCCAGCAAAGACATAATGGTACATTCCTCAGTATAAATAATCCTCATCCAATTTGTCCTGATGGATTTATACAGTTGCATGCTTCATCATGTTTGTGTGCACTAGACCTGAAGAATTGCTGTTGTTGCCAGCGTTCATGCAACATTTAGGAAAGCAATCATAAGCTTTGGATAAAATTCTCCATAAAACCTCAGTTTATTGTAGTCGAATACGGTGATCTTAAGTAAACACTGTTGTGAGTGTAAATTAGGTCTCATATTCTAACACAGGCTATTACAAGTATCATTACGGGAGCGTTATCGTAAAGACAGCCCTGTGAATATCATTCTCCCTGAATGGTTCTCAGTAGCTATAATACAAACCTGCCTGAAGTTGATGCAAAACATTAAGAGTTTTATCTGAGAAGCATGACAAACGACAGTCTAAGAGCTGCATGTGTTCAGTGGCTCAACGTTAATAGATGACTCATTAACATGGTTCACAAAGTCATAGCATGCAGCTTCTGAGTTATGGATTTTTGTACCAGGACATAACACTATGAAGTTATTTTATCTTAAGTGTCAAAGGTCATCCATAACAGGGCCCTGATTGATGTTATTGTAACATCAACTGCTGTCACCAGCATGCTCAGGACTTCGGCTGAATCAACAAGTGGGCAGCTTGAATTGGAGAGAAGAATACGTACTGAACAAGAAGAGATCCAGGAATAGAAAGAGCATGGAGGGCATGAAGTGCTGCGAAAGCAAAGAAAGCAACTTGAACTGGATCCATGAAATATATGAAATGCATACTCCTTAAAAAAAAATATATCATTTACTTTTTGTCTCGCAAATGTTGCTGAGTCACAAGAGAGCTTTGCAGTGTCAGGTGGCATAACAGCCAGAATGACGTGTCTGCTCTTCCACGGAGGTGAGAGTTTTCATTGGGTTGTTACAGCTTTACCTTAACCCCAGGAGACCCTCAGTGTTCCAGCTGGCTGGAGGCCTCGCCGACAGTCTTTACAGCTCTGCAGGTTGAGTGTGACACGGGGAAGGGAATAAATGCCTGAAGAGAACGTGTGATAGTTGGCAGGTGGATGCATGTGTGAGACAGGCTGATGAGGAAAGCAGCGGATGAACCGCAGGGCTTTGACATGGAGACCCGGTATTTAAAAGTCTGTGGCCCTTTGCTGCACGTTCTACGGACCGGACATCTGTAAATAGAAGAGGGACACACACACACACACACACAAAACTCAAACACCATGACCATACAACTTTGGAAAATAAAAGGCTTTTGATACAGACAGGTTAAAGAACACATTTGCCATCATTGATTTTCACTCAGACCTAATCAACCACAGCCTGTGTGAGCCGTCCTGAAAGCAGAGACAGTTAAGCATTACTTCCATGCACAAAAGAGAAGTCGGCTCACACGCCACACCTTGCTGTTGGTTGCACTCTAGATCTGCACCAACCGTGACATTAAGAAGTTTGTTAATACGCTTCTTTTTTTTTTTTTTTTTAACCTTAAACAAAGCATTAAAAGTAGAAAGCAAAGCGAGCAGTATTGTAAGTGAATGAGAGAATCTGTTCCACAGGCGAGGCCTCGGAGCATTGTTCTGCAATCGGGTCCTCCGGGGCTCTTCCATCCTGCCGAATGTTTTCTTTCGAGCCGTCTATTCACCTGGACCAACAGGTGAAAGCAATTAACCACTCTCTAGGATTAAATACCAGCAGGCCTCTGTGCATTAAGGACATGATTGTTGCACAGTTTGAAGCTAAACGTCACCGACGGGTTACAACAGCACGACTGAAGAGGGATGCGACTGCACAGTTGAGAGGAAGAGGGGTGACGTGCTGCTCGTCAGTCAGTGAGAAAAGAGGAAATGGGGGGGGGGGAAAGCCCAGATACTTCATTTGTTCCTCTCCCGTTCTTATCACTACTCAGCAATAACGAAATGTCAAAGTTAAGCATTAAAAGTGAACAAACCCCAGAAACACCGACTTCTTTTTATCGGCTGCGTTGCAATAATTACAAAACTTAAACATGTTTTAAAGTGAAAATGTATCTTTTTATTGGTACCATACATTAATAATCAAGGGCAGAAACTAACCAAATCAAAAAATATATATCAAACAATGATTTTCTACAGGGATTGGAAAAGGTACAAGTCACCATTCAAACTCATAACTGTTGCTGGAATCAACTGTAAGGAAATGGAAATGTACAAAACAAACAGAGCTTCAGCTGTTTTTTTTAAAAATCAGATTTTACAGATGGCGTCGCTACCCAATATGAAGACTGAACTTAATGATAAGCTGGCTTTAGAAGATGTTTGGATGATTGATGGCATCATTCTGTTGGTTATGAAAGACGCTGCACCAATGAAGGCAATTTAGACGACAGATAACGGAGAGAAATCAGTTTCAGCCAGTGATGAAATATGAAATTCACCGGTTAGCTTAAATTCAGTGAGCACATTCACTTGACATCAAGTTGAAAGTCGCGGTACACAAAATCGTGATGTTAAGTGAAAAATCACTTCCTGTATAGATGAAACACTGTGAATTTCTAAAATTTCCAAAATAAATACAAAAAAAGACAAACAGTAGAATGATCTCTCCATGGTGCCGTTGTACCCCCGGAGGTTTTGTAATTTAATTTACACAAGTTATAAAAAAGGAGGGAGGAGGAAAGAGCAGGAGGGAGGATAGAGGGGGCGGGCTCATGAGTGTTTTTTCTCCTTTTTCCTATTTTTGTTTCTTTACATTAGATCGGGATGGCTTTAGGTAAATCTAAGTAAGAATACATCTTATTACAGTCAGACAGAACTTTGCTACTACCTTAAATATACAAGCACAAATACACAAAAATTTAAATCTCCAAAAAAAAAAAAAAAAAGGAACAAAAAGACAAAATAAAAACATCCACGCTAAATTATTTCTCTTTTATAAACATAAAAGATAAAAACCATATATCTTAGAGGGGGAGGGATAAAAGTCCTGTGTTGCTCCTTGGTCTGTAGCTTTTCAGTATTGGTAGAAAATAAAAAACAATTGAAATGAAGGCGTTTAATACAAATTAAAAAACATTCTAGGGAAATATATACTGTATAAAAACTCTTAAAATGTGTAACTGTGTGTGTGTGTGCATGTGTGTGTTTTAAATGCTCTCTGTTTGAAAGACCGCAGCCATTGTAGTCTAATCAGAGATGGCTCTGGCACTAGGACTCAAAATCCTTCAATCATTATGCTGATTTGTTTGTGTGCGTGTGTGTGTGTGTGTGTTTGTTTGTTTGTTTCCCTAGTGCCACATTTCAGTTCCTACTAGTGTGTGAATTTCAATGGTTTTACACACGGACTCTAAATTCTGGTCCGTCCGCTTCCGCAAAGCCACAAATAAGATCGGACTGCCTCTTTTTCGCTCCTCACACATTTCACACACGCGCACACACATATACTCTATTAACAAACATTACGAGTGACTCGTGCCTCAACAGAGCAGACCAGAATTGAGAGCCGTGTTTAGAGGACGGGTGGACAAGTGGTCCCTAAGCAACTCGCCACCATCTCGAAAGCCCCGATGCTGCCATCCCCTCCGACCCGCCGCTCCCTGCATGTGATCTTCAGTACGAATAGTTTAGTGTGCACAGTTCTGCCCCCTGGGTTAAACACCCCCCCCACACGCCTCCTCGCTCACATCTACCCGGTCGCTGTCCAAACTGAAAATTTGCGAGAGCAGATGGGACATTTTGAGTGTGAGATGAGGAAAGGGGAGACAGAGGTGCGACACGGTGCCTAAATATGGGGAAGTCACAGCAATGGCTCAGTGACATTATCTGAGACATGCTGAGCCCCCCGGGCCACCTGTGTATGTATATGTGTGTGTGTGTGTGTGTGTGTGTGTGTGAGAGAACTGAATATGATGGACTGCTGCTGTTGCACTCGTGGCTGTCGGGGTTGGGGTGGGGTCTGAGGAGTGGCAGAGAGGGGTTTGTGTTGAGGTTGCGGGGCTCTGGGCTCTACTGCGATGCCTGTGAGGTGGGGTTGTCGCTCTTGCTCTCCTGGCTGGACGGGGCCTTGTTGTTCCAGGGCGAGTTGGAGCCGAGCGCCGGAGAGTTGTTGAAGCTGTCCTCGTCGTCGATGCCGTTGGCCGCGTCGAACTGCGTGTTCTCCAGCCGCGTGATCAGGCGCTCGTCTTCGTCGCCAAACTCCCCTCCCATCAGCGTGGGCTCTCCCACCACCATCACATCCTGCGGAGATGCAAAACAGAAGCAGATCAATCAATATGTTGCTTTAGTGGGGACTGGAGGAATGGGAGCAACAGCTGTTTGATCCCAAAGTCACCCGTCACACCTCGACTACAATCAGGTAATCTCCATTTTAATACTTCTTAAGGGGCACTTTATGTTCTGTAACATGTGAACTTCCCTCCATGAACTGAAGCAGTCGTTAATCTATGAACGTAGTCGTAATGTTTCTGTCGATACAAAGTGCTGGCACTAGATATCAGCGATGTACTCACTGGAACTTGGCTGGACAGAGGGAAGCCACTGCCTGGGCTCTTCTTTTTGTTGTTGTTGTTGTTGTTGGTTCCTCCTCCTCCGCTGATGGTGCTGCCACCTGACATCTTACGCTTCCGTCTTTTGTTTGGTGCCTGTCTTGACGGCTCAGCTACAGAGAAGGGAAGGAGGGAGAGTTACAGATATATGTGATGTGGTCGTGCCTTTATCTCTGCTTGTTGTTCAATTACCTGGTGGTGCCACCATCCTCTGCCATTTCTGGAAGAGGCAGGTCTTGAGGCAGTCTCTGGGGCTGAGGCTGTACGTCTTGTGTCTGGACATCAGCTCCTGCATGGGCTCCAGAATCACACACAGCTGGAGGAGGGAACAGAAAGACAGGCAACGGGTTTACACGGTGTTTGAGATCATTAGGAAGTGCTCCCAAAAGAGCAAGCACCATCGTGATGACTTCATCTCTAAGCTTGAAGTTCTCAGATCAGAGAAACATGACTCAAGGGAGTATAATTCCAACATGGGGTTGTGACTTTTGCAGCGTCTGTAAACAAGAACACTGAACCTGCAGTTCTAGTTTAACTTGTGCAGCCTTCTGTGTTTGTTGATGAAACACAAGATACACCCGAGACCCATCTCAGCTTTACTACATAGTGCAAAAACTCTCTACTTGACAGGCCACATCTTGTTATGTATTTTTACCTTCACTGCCTCAACAATAAAAGCAGGGCTGTGACGAATAGTTTGGAGCTTTGTTCATAACTTTGACCTGCAAATTCTAAATCAACATTCAAATGCACACAGCTTTATCTTTTTGCACGTCTGTTTATTATTTTAAACCATGATTGGTCGACACTAATGTAATTAGTATTACACTATTTGTAGAAATACATTCCATAGGTGGCTGCGTAGGACGGCTCCAGACTCGTGTGATCCAAACATTTACAAAAGAAAAAGACGTATTTGTTTCCAAAATTCACAACTTTTCACAAATATTATTTAACAAAATAGGATTAAAGATGTTTGGAGCTTCATTCCAAAACCTCGAAAATGGTGTGTGTGTGTGTGTGTGCTCCACTTACTCGGAGGTAGTTAAGGGTGGAGTTCGACAGGCCACATCTTGTTATGTTTTTGGACAGCTGATCCAGCATCTGTGGGTCCTGGGCCTGAGGAATCAAAAGGGGACGGATTAGGACGTTGACACTCACACACGTCCTTGTATACACATCTGTGAACTACGTGCAGCCGTTCCCGCTCCCCTCTGCATCCACTCACATGCATGGCCAGTATACTGCGGGGGATGAGTTCACGGTGTTGTCTGATGCTGAAGTGCCACGTCTTTATCCTCATCATGTCGTCAAACATGAACTCCAGGTACAAGCGGCCTTCTACACACACCTGTGGCAGTTCAGAGGAGTCGGGTCAGTATGCAGGAGTTGAACTACATGTAATGTACACAATAATAGCTAAAGACGCAAACACACACACACACCTGTGTGAACATGGGCTTTCCATTCTGGGTGACCATGGTGCACTGATCACAGTCAAGGGAGACAAAGTTATTGTGGAAGGACTCCTTGGGATGTTTCAGCACATAGTAGAGCTCAGTGGCACCGCCTTCGAATATACTCCGGAAGTACCTTGGAATCAACGTTCGGCCAATTGCTTCAGAGGAGGAGAGAAGACACAACGGGCGTGAGACGGGAAGGAATTCATAGTCGTGTAGAAGTGACGGTACGCGGCCCGTTTGTGACTGTAGGACTTTGCAATAAAGGGGCGGAACATGTATGAAACAGAGAGGCAACATGTTCCGGTGACTTTGTTTCTTACTGTAACGTTTGGGCCCATCCTCCAGACAGAACGTAATGGTCAACATGGCATCATCTTCAAAGAACTCTGTAGTAAATGCGTCCCACCACAGGTTATCACACTCCTACAGGATGTAGAGGGGGAAACATAATCAGTGACCTGCGCAATTATTATTGGATTGTTTGCGAGTGTGCATGCGGGTGCCTCCGAACCTCTGTCCAGTTCTGTAGCCGTTTGTTGAGTTCAAATATTCTGTAGTCTGTCTGGTTGCCATATGGTGTGTGCCTCCTGGTCAAAAACAGGACAGGGGTCGAGAACAGTTAGCTTGTGGTATTATGAAAGATACGAGTAGACTAAAAGCACATCATCCTGATCACAGTATTGTTAAAGCTCTCACAGCTTCACTACCTAGTTCACAGAATAAATACAAAATCTCTTTTAAAAGTGAGATAAGAGCACAACTTCCCACCACCTTATCTTCACTTGTGTCATTATTGCTATTTTCACACCAGTTAAGCGATATGGGACACAATGCAGTCTTACCCGATTCCGGGCTCCAGGTACGTGGGAGGATACATCGGGGTGGGACTGGAGAGACAAGAGACAGAGAGACGATTACGTTCAGCTATAGCGCTAATAGGTCCTCCTTCAGGAGCTCGTCTGTCTTTACGACTCGGGGACACGAGCCAAACACGGCACACATGCAGAGGTATAACCCTCGAACCTTACTGAGCCACACAAGTCAAGAGAAATCAATGTTAGCATTAAACACTAGCTTCACACATCAGGTCCACGGTGTTTACTCGAGTCTTACCTGTGGCTAAGATGACACTACACTAACATATATGGGCAATTGGATCAACCGTTCACCAAATGACAGGAGATTGTGACCTCTTCTTCAGCAATAAAGCTTCATGCACCTAGGGGAGTCCCAAGAATCAGTTTTAAAAGAAGAGTTCTACCAGCATGTGATGTACACTGACATGACATTAAGCACTCCATCCTGGGAAGAGACGTTATGCCATTAAAGCAGAGTACGAGTGTACAAACACTACCTGGGCTGTTCATGGATATTAACTCGGGTTACAAACTGGTAAAACGTGGCAGCTCATATCACCCAAACTATCCGCTGAAACAAGTTTCTTGGTAAGTTTGCAGCTTCTGAAACTTAATATATAAACATCTTAAATGTTCCGGAAGTTTGTGAACCTCCTGAACAATACAGCGCTGCTGCTTGTTGTCGCCAGCATCTTGACTACTTTCTACTGTTTGCTGACCAACATATGGTTTAGGAAATTAAACTCCAGCCTATGTAAACACGGCATGTAATAATACGAGCTGTTTAAAGGCTGGTACACTGTGAGCTCCGCCCACAGAACAGATAAAACAAAACACACAGACATAAAACTCACCCCACGTCTCTGTCCAGCATAGTGCCGGGGTGGAAAGGGGGGAAAGTGCTACCGTTGGGGGGCTCCTTGGGGGAGTACAGCTTGAAAGACTTGGAGGAACAGCCTGGAAGAGAGGTGAGAGAACAAGAAGAAAGAAAATGAATGGTGCGTTTCATTTTTATATTTTAAAGGTTCAAAAGCTATTTGAAAAGTTAGATGTAGTGTTTCAGGATAACAATAAATGGTAAATTAGATAAAAACTTTTAAGTTGTTACATCTTTGGGGATTACGTGGTACTTCTAATTATAGCTATTACATGTTTGAGTGACACGTGCAAAGAACGACTGTATCGTGCGAGGATGAAGACACATGCAGCCTGAACTGGCCAGCATGGCCCAGTTTCAGTTGGCTGCACACATTCACAGGTCATCCCCAGCAATACACCAGTCTCCTTTCATAAAAAAAGACACAAAACACCACGATGAGGGAGCCTCCTGTGAGCAATGTGCTGCTACTGCCGGCCTCCATCTACTCTCCACAAATAACTGTAAAACAGCACAAACAGACCAACGCTGACTCTAGTCACAACCACCCAAAAAGACTAAGCTGATGAATCCCTCTCTCTCAGACTGCTCCAACGCTCGTTCTACTCTAATTGCCCGGCTCTCCTATAAAGGCCATCCAGGCGTGCCGCCCTGTGGGTCACGACCCCCGCCGTCACCATGGTGAAGCCCCGCCTCATTAATGTCTCTCCGTCTTGTCGCTGCATATTAAACGTATCTTTGACAATGTGTGTGTGTGTGTGTGTGTACGAAAGAGACGTATAGATAAACAGACTGGGAGAGATGAGCTTTAATTGCATTAATGGGATGTTTTCAGCAGAGTAAACTGGGATTTGAGAGCACAGCAGAGATGTGAAATCTATATTCTTGTAAGACATTTAAGAGTAAAACAGCCTCTACTTTGTGAGAAGAGGTTTTTTTTTTTTTTTTGTTTTTTTTTAAAAAGGTGAGTTTTTCCAACATTATGATTCATTATCGAAGTGCTCTCGCGGAGTTTGGTTGATGATGTTACAGTAACACAAACATGCAGATATCCACAGGCAGACCAGCCCAACACTGACCTCAGAAGTCACAGTGATACACGCCGGTACCGATCAAGTTCATAAGTTATGATTGTAAGCATCACAACCAATCTGCTCTTAAATAATGGCATCTTATCTTTAAGGAGCTACGTCTCCACTGGTTCCTACTGCAACAATAACCACACGGACATAAGATTTAAAAAACTAGAAGCAAATAAATAAAAAGTTTTCTACGAAGAGCATCTTCAAAACACCATTTGCACTATCTACAAAGGGCCATAACCTCGGTCCATTTGAAGCCGTGGCTTCACTTTGTGCAAAAACAAGTTGTTTACTGTGTGAGGCAGCACTGCTGGGCTGTGGGGTGGATGCACCACCAGAGGAAAACAAATGGGTTTGATAAATAAATAAATAATCGATGGTTATGTGTCCATTAGTTGTTGAGAGCTCCATTAGCTCCTCTCCTCTGCTGTTAGCGGTTAATGACAGGCAGTCACAATCACATCAGCTGGACTCCACTTCCTCCACTGGGATTCATGTTCCTCTCTCCCTTACAAGTAGACACGCAGTACATCAAATACACATTATACACATGTATCCTCCTGGCTTAATGTGATGGTCAGCCCACCTCACAACACATCTCACAAGTTGACCAACATGGATGTCCAAAAAACACATCCGATTTCATCTGAACTCCAGACACACAATTCCACTGAGCAGCACAAAGTCTCTTCTGAATAAGAGTAGCATGTAGTGGTTCAGGACTCCTGCCACCATGGTGTCTAGAAGGGGACAAGCGGTCTATCCAAACGGAATATTGACGATAGCTACGTTACACTACACCATTATCCCACGTTAGCAAACACAAAAACCGACATGAATCCGATATTAAAATGCCATTTTCAACATCCGTGTAACCGCTAGTACACAACTTTCATAACGGTCGGAGCACATCTGACGTGGAGTTGTCTGGTTACAAAGGCAATTAGAGAGGCAGCAAGCGCATAACGCTAACACTTAGCTATTAGCCAGGCTAACGCGTTAAACAGGTGATATCAGGACGCGAGTGTACTTCGCTGCGTAATGCCAACCAGCACGTATTCTAACAAACCATGACCAGTAACAGGAACCAATAACCTCGACATCGTGCACCACCTAAACGTTGGCTGTGTACAACACTGCCTCGTAGGCCTGCACGGCGAGCTAACGTTAGCTAGCCAGAAAACAGTTGGTGAGTGTTAGCCGTGTTGCTAACGCCTTAGCGTTAAATCCCTTTTCAACGATAAACCACCGAAATAAGACGAGAAACTACAACCGCAATAGCTCGTGAACCACACGTACCCGCTACGGCAGACAGACACTGCGATCAAGGTGTGCGTTTGGGGGAAAAGCGACCGTTTACCTGAAAAGAAGTCCAATCAGAAAATTGATGTTTACAGATCCGTGATGATAGACCGTATGTACGCTCCGTGCGTAAAGACGGATAGGCCCGCTGGACGCAACGTACCAACACAATACGTCCCTCTGAATAGGATCAATGGAAAAATATCCCCAAACCGCGAGACTGAGACGGAATAAAGCCTAAATTGCGGGAGTGAGTCGGTTATGTTTTGTCCCGCATGAGGCCTTGTTAGTGGGCTGAAGCCTGCTGTGGGTTTACATACGGACCCAGATGAGCCCTTTGTTCACGGGAGGACATGAACAATAGCTGTAGGCCCTCCTCCTCTCCCTCCGCAATGCATTTGCTCCTCTATCCTCTGCCCAGCACCGCCAGCCGCCCTCTCCCCCCTTTTCCTCCCCCTCCTCCCCCCACTAATGCACAACTGCACATGAAGGTTGTCTGGTAAGCATTTTTTTTATCCCTTCCTTCCTCCTCCCTACATCCCATCCCTTCCTTGTAACTGACACAGATGAGAATTGGCCTAATGCAGCCGAGTGGAAGTGTGTGTGGAAATAAACATCATGCTGACTGCAAAGTGGTTTTCATGTTTTCCTAATTAGTGCACATCCGCTTGCTGCAAACAACTGAACTGAGACAGTGACAGAACAAGACCCTGGTCATGTGAATCATACACCATGGGTCTATGCAGGGCGATGCATACACATGTGATGCAGCAGCCCAATCAGTCAAAAGTAGATTGAGATCTAACAAATTAAATTTCACCTGCGGATAACATACTTCGGTTTTTGACAATTAATTGTGTCTTTGAGTTTGCACACTGAACGGTCTCCAAGGTAGACCAGTAAAGCCATTGGGAATATCTCTCTCTCTCTCTCTACACACACACACACACACACACACACACACACACGCGCACACACACACACACACACACACACACACACAGGAAGCACTAAACCAAAAGGAGAATCCCATAGGCCTGTAAATCTGCTTAAATCCTCAAATTATAATCAGATATTCAGATCACAGCCAGCGAGGACTCACCCGTATGGCCAAGGTTGGGATATAAAAAGAACAAGTCATATTAGGTCAGTAGTTTTTCATATATTTATGCAAGTGTATGTCATAATATTTGCTAATTTCATATGCATTATTCATCTCTGAAGGATGACTTGGACTCCTAACATTGTTGACAGGTGATCTCATATCAAAGGTCTAAAAATGATTTTCTTTCAAACACAAAAAGTGCTTTCCCCCGCCTCAATTATTTAGGGACGTTGCAGCCAACAGCATGGACGTGGTTCTGATTTATACACGACCCGTGTAGGCAGGGAGTGAAAACACAATGTTTCATCAATGATTTATTCGCAAATTAAGCTGCTCCTGGGAGCCGCTCTGTGGAAACAGTTAACAGGGTTTCCCAGAAGCTGCTGTGCATCGCAACACTGGTGCTGATGGGTAATACTATGACAACATAGTTCTTAAACATTATTTTTGGTTCAAGTTGAACTATTTTAGAGGCACAATTTCAAATAATGTGACCTAATAGACAAAGGCCGTACAGATATGTTTATGTAAGTCTTATTCTGATTAAACATAATATGTATTCCTCTCTGACTGACGTGGAACAACTTTTAAAAATGTATTTTTGTCTGCTGGTGCATTTCAAGGATCAGTTCCACAAGGCGTTGCAGCAGACACATTATTGTGAGCACAGCACATTTTATTTTTTTCTCATACTTTATTGCAAAAGTGCACATTGAATTTCCAATTGCTCACAGTATTTATATATTTTTTTTGCTTTACTGAAAATATATAAAGCTAATAATAAGAGAAAAAGGATCATACAATATTCAAAAGTTAATCGAAATGAAGATAAATTATAATAATAAATCCAAACGTCCATTTCCACCCTAATTATGTCACTCTTATATCTGCCAACGTGCAGTGATGGACTCCTCACCACCGTTTAATTTTGGGTCTCGTAATCAAACCGTTTTCTCCATCGTCTCTGATATTCCGATGTATCTGAGACGTTGAAGCAGGTGTCATGATTTTGCGTTTACTTTTCTGCGTTTTCATACCAGAGGGCGTCACTTTATTCTGACGTATCTGCAGTTCTTTTCTGTCTGGCTTTGCAATCTAGGAACACGTTTGCAAAAAAAGAAGACGACAGCTCAAATGCAGAAACCTCTTTGCAGACTCTCGTGTTGGAAGAGATCCCCGAGTATGGAGAAGTACAGTGTCTCCCAGAACCAGACACGAGAGGATGAGCAGCTCCAAGGCCCGTCTCTCAGCCGACCAGCAGCATAGATGCCCGGGCTGAGTTTATGCATATTTGTTTGACCACGGTGAGCTCGTGACATGAGCACTTCACAGCTCACGAGGCTCCTGTCGGTCTTTCGGCAGCATCTTTGTGTGTCTAGTACCGGGGGGGAGGTGTCGTCAGTAGTAGCTTAGAGTGTCTGTTGTCGGTGACTTATGTGGATTTGCCTATCTTACATTCGCTGGCCCCTGTAGCCATGGCAACACAAGCAGTCAATGCTGTCACAACCGGAGCGAAGCTAAGAACCATCCATGGAAATGGACACACAAGGGTTAATCCTGTGTGAGTGTGTGTGTGCGCGCGTCTGTGTGTGTGTGTGCGTGTCTCCAAAGCTTGCCCATTGAAATGGTACATGACGGGGTTAATCCTCACTGCATGTGTGTGTGGGGGGGTGGGGGTGATGGAGAAGAGGTGGGGGTGGGAGGTGTGTCAGGATAAGGCTTGAAGGGCTTACACACACTGTCTCTTTTGCTCTCAGGCATAGGGCAGGCCTTATCTTCAACGGGCACCCCAACCAGCGAGTCTCTCTCGCACACACACACACACACACACACACACACACACACACACACACACACGCACACACACGCCTAACAGTCACTTCACCAGCTAGCCTCATTTTCCTACTTGCAGTCACACATTCACACCTAAAGCCATAAGTCCGTGTACAAAAAGTGATTAAGGCTGCAGCGTGCAGCGGCTGAATATAAACTCCCTGTAGTGCCATGTGTGATGTTTTCACGAAGCTTACACTTAAACCTACAAGTGCAACTTGTGTAATTCACCTTTGTCAAAGTAAATAAATAAATAAATAAAAGAAGAAAAGAAGGGGACCAAACTTGTATCGCATTTTTCTCTGAGCATCAATAAAACAAGAGATACAACAAGAAAAACAATAAGACATTCCTTCCTCAGCTGTTTTGATTTGGGTTTTGTTGTCGTTGCTGAATCAGCTCTGAGAAAGACAACAAGGAAAAGGTCAGAAAGAGAGACTTACCTCCCTCAGTTTCAAGCTGTTCTGACATCGCCATTTCGTCACCCACAAATGCACTTTCACAGCTACATGCTGATCTAACTCAAAGACTTGGTTTCAGTTTTCATGCCTCTCCCTCTCTCTCTCTGATATCTCCCATGTCCAGACTGTCAGGCTCAGGGGCACAAGGAGGGGGGAGAAGGATGCCTACAGTATGTGTGTGTATGTGCAAGTGTCAGCGAGTGTGTGCACATGTGTGTGTGTGTGTGCTCTTATGCACGTGTCGCCTGTGTATGCGCAAATGTGTGCAGCCTGCCACTACCACTCATAGTCAACAGGATACTGAACGGCACACACACACACACACACACACACACACACACACACACATCTGCCAGAGTTCTGATAACAACCGTCCCAGTCGCCCTCCCTTCATCGCCGATCTGGAGACAGTCTCGTGTTGCTATGGGTGTGGACACTGCCTTTACGAAAGTGATCCCAGCTCAAAGAGGAGATTTCACTTCTAATGAGTGGGACATCCGTTAATTACCCCCCCCCCAAAACAGGAATAAAAACAAAACCACTCCTTTATAGATTACACTACATTTCTTTCCCTGAGCGTAATGCCGAAGCTACAGCTTCATGGCATTTTAGCTCTTCATAGTATTCCTTTACATCAATAGCACAGATATAGTCCCTTTCCTTTATGTGGAAGCTACTTAAATATCTCTTTTCAGTGGTCATTGTCAGATTTCATACTCTTGGCAGCCCAGGCTTCTTTACTCTCTTATTGGATCAGATGGAGGGACGGAGATCTTTCCGGCCAATTCAGCTATGGTGAAAGATCCAAAGTGACAAGCTTCCACTGGTTTTTGGTGGAATAAGTCAGCTTCGGATCAAACAATCTGTGAGACACTTATCTGCAGTGGTACAAGTACTTTATACTTTATACTTCTACTCCACTACATTTCAAAAGACTACTTTTAGACTCAATTTTTCTGACATCTTTTACCGATTTTGCACACAAACATAAAACTTAAATAGGATGCACTGATGCAGATTAAACATTCCAGCAAGATATAAAGTAATTGAGAATATCTTCACATGAAAGTGCTACTCACACATGAATAAATAGACAGGTTGGGCAATCACAACATACCGCCAGACGTCAGAGTCTTCACATAATGGAACAATAATCAAAGCTGCTATGCAAATTAGTTTTATAAGTGAAACTGTATGCAAATGTTGCCGTTGTTATTCTGCACAAAGGGATAATTCTCCGTTTGATTTGCAGTCAGTCATTACGAGGGCAGGAAATTAGAACTGACCTACAATCAGAGGTTATCCTTTGACGGCAGCGCCCTCTTGTGGCCGCGGCGAGTCGGTGTTTGTTTTCATGCTGCCCTACAGCGTCTCCTCGCTCACTGGGTGAGTTCCCTACTCAGGCTTTTCTCTGGCAGGCGAACACAGACACACTGCAACAAGAGAAGTTCAGCAGCGAGCACGTCACATGTCAGTGCGGGCCAATAGGTGACGGGATTAAATCAGGAGACTGAGGCTCTGTTGTGAGCCAGTTTGATATCAACGTGTCTGTTTCTAATTTTAAAAAGTGTTTCCCAAAAACAATGACATGTGCATACTATAGCAACTTAATGATCTGCATTATTAGCCATCATCCTCAGTCCCCCCCCCTTCACATTGGCAGTATGCCAGTGGTTTAGCTTTTATGTGTGTGTGTGTGTGTGTGTGTGTGAGTCAGAAGTGTGTGGCGGCGGCTGGTGTCAGCTGACAGCTGTGTGAAGGGAGATGACAGTGCCCTGATGCTGCGTTCTCTGTTCTCTGGGAGCCATTTTGTCTGTCTCTGATCTCAGAGTCAGGTCTGCCCCCCCAGCCAATCACGTCACTGCTCAGCCTTGCAGAAAACATAGAAACACAGTCTGATCTCTCTCTCTCTCTCTCTCTCTCTCTCTCTCTCTCTCTC